TCTCCCTGTCCTTACCTCGACCCACCAGCCTTTTGTTATACTTTCTCTCCCCTGCCCAGCCGAGAAGAGGAGTGACAGAGCAGCTTTGGTGGGCATCTGGTGTCCAGCCAGGGACAACCCACCACAATGGGTCTAATTCATAAGTGTGGTTATTTAAAACTACATAACACCATTCCAGTACATATCTAGTATGTATGGGAGAAATTGCTATTCTCTATTTTTTCCCCAGAAAAAAACAGTATTGCAATGTAATTTTAGGATTATGTTAGTGAATATGCATTTATGCAACTGTGTATACAAATATTTCCAGTGAAAACCATCTAGAATATATGTCTGATTTCCACCTACCTCCAGGTGTGCAGTAAAAGCAATGCCATGAGTGAAATCTTGGTCTTAAGGAGGTAGTAGTAAAGCACCCCTAAAATTGCTAGGATTTTATCCCAAATGTCCTTAATGTGAAGCATAAATTATGAAAAATTGCAAACAGATAATGATATTTGTTCATGTAATTAGTATCTCAGATGAAAAATAGAAGGTTATAATAATTCAAATGACATGAGAACTGAAAAGTTAAATAGTTATATTCTCTTTAGACATAGTTAAATAGTTATATTCTCTTTAGAATGCTGCTTAACCTGTTGTTTCTGTGGAGTACGTACCTTTTCTTATCTGATGTAGAAAAAATGAGATGGTAAACACTGCATTTTAAACTAATTTGGGGTTATTTACATAGTCTTTTCTAAATATGTTAATTTTTAAAACTTTTTTTTTAAATTAGCAATATCTAACTAGATTTCACTCGCTTGTTATAGGGTAACACTAATAACAGCTAAGTGAATTAATTTTATGTGATTTTATGTAATTTTCTTGTATTCTCTACTTCAGTAAGCTCTTTCATGATAAAGACAAACTTTCTACAGATCTTGATCAAATATAATCATATGTGCAATGGTGATTTAGATCATACAGTGATGATCTAAGGATGAACAGTGAGCTTTATCACAGTCTTTTTGGGCACTGTTATTTGCAAAGGAACAAACCCGTTCTTGGATACTGCAGTAACAGTTTTGTTAAAAAATGATAAAAGGGCTGAAAATGGATTTGAGTATCTTCAGGCTGACAGGAAGCAAAGCTAAATTTCCAGTGGGATTGATCTCTCTTGTCTCTCTCTTCCTCAGACAAATACATGGCAAAATTCACTCTTTAAAACATGCAGTAAAATTACCTTCAGTGTTTGGGTCAGATAGCAGTTTGGACCCGAATACCCGGGATCGCAGATGCATTGCTCATTCAGACAGTCTCCATGACCTCTACAGTTTTCCAGACAACCAGGGCCCAGATAGAAATTATCGATGGCCCACTGCATGTCTGAGTATTTCTGGTAGAAGCGAAACCTCACAGGACTAGATACAAAAGGAACGAAGAAAAAGAGACACATGTATAAAACAACTTTGCTTATTTGAAAACAACTGGGTGAAACACGATACACTTATGACTGTACTATCCTCCAACCTTCCACAAGTCATATCTGGCAGTATCTGTTCAAACTGATTTTCTACATGTCCATATCTTCTTCACATGTGTACTACCTATGATATATGGACAGATTCCAGATACTGCTGAAGCTGGAAAAAGCTGTCCGGCTTCTTGCAAGAGAATTCCAGTTACTCAAAGAATAGAAGAGATTTTAATTTTGCAGAAAAAGACAAATGGCTTGCATATGTGCAGACTACTGCAGACAATAAGAGTAACTTTTCCACTCAGTAAGGTCATAAATCTACTCTCTAATTGACCGCAGTTTTCTGAACAGATCAGAACATGCTGCACCAGAGCAGACTGCAGAGAAGCAAGGATAACTTTGCCAGTTGTTCAGACCAAGAGCCATGGTCAATCTTGATTGACAGGAAATGAAATTATGCAGCACACATAATGAACATGAATGCTGCTAGTCTGCACTTTCCTTGAAAGAAAATGAATCGGCAGATGTATCCCTTGTTGTGTTTTTCAGAAGGTACTGAACTCAAGACAAAACGAGTAGCGAATTCATACTTACTTGCCCACAAGGTTTTCAGGCAGTGAGTAAGTTACTCTTTTCCACCCTTTTGTGGGAAAGAAGACAGATGGCTGTGAAACACTCCCAGAGCATTTTGGATCAGCTGGTAAACACTGAGGTACTAAGTAACTCCAGCTAACGCCAAAGTCAGTGGAATACTGCACATGGACCTGATTTTGTGCAAGTTTTTCTGAGGTTTTACATCCAACAGAAACCTAATAAAGAAGAGAGCATAAGTAAATTAGAATTAATTGTGGTGGTTAGAGTTAAAAAGAAATGTTTGAACCTGAAAACTGACTGCAGAATTTTGCTTGAAATGATGGCAGTAACAGTGCTTGTGTGGTACCCATCATCTGCAGATCTCATCAATATTCCCAAGATTGAGAACAGGCACCATATTCTGAGTTTCATTTTCTTCTAGTTAGCTCATATTTCTGGATTTCCAGGTTTTGACACTTGTGCCTTGTACTGCAGTACCCCATAACTAATGAAGTTAATCTCCCCTCCCATACACCCTAAGATTTGAATATTTCAGGGGAGGCCACCTAGCTCAGTTCTGTTAGGCGGACTGTCTTTATGGAAGAGATGTGCAAAGTGCTCTTACAACTTCCATATATTGCTGGGTTATTTCTTTAATTTAGGTAAAGGGATGTATGAAGGGCAGTTTGGGTGCAGGTTTTGTGGGAATGCATGACAACATAGGAGCGGTGTGGACTGCTTTGGAGCTGCTTTCCCTCACCAAGCAGCTGTAACAAAATAGGCACCTTGTATAGTATAATATCCTTATTACATGATGTCCATGCAACTGCTGTGCTGGAAGAGAAGGATGCATCACCTCTAGAAGAGCCTGCGGTATTAAAACTGACCAAACATGGAGTAGGTGAGAAAAATGAGGATGGTCTAATAATAACAATTTTCCCTGCAGGGAATGTCTCATGAGTAGGCCTATACATCATCCTACCTCCTGAAAAACCTACTTAGAATTGGAGCAAAATGTGTTTTTGAATAATTATATTGCAGACAGAGATTTTACCTTGAACTGCATAATCCAGCCTTCTGTAGGAGTCAGGTCATGGGTGACGGCGTAGACCTCTCTGCCATCATGGCTCCCACAGATCATGACACCGTCAGGAGAATCACAAAACCTCTCAATTGAGCAATCGTCATGGAATAACCAGTGTTCATTCACTTGAAAATAAATGGCAATGTCAGTAATATCCAGTGACAATATAAATTAAAGAAAACAGGGAGTAGTGTTAACCACTGAAGGTGATTCATGGCTTTATTTTTCAGCCTACGTGAGAATTATTTAGTGTTGCTCCTGAGAATGTCAGTACCCCATTTTTCCCATGTACATATTTATTACATTTATCATATTTATTGCTCAAAGCACCTCTTACTACTCTCTTACATAAGCATTATAGCATTATTTTTTAATGTTCAAGAAGTAAGGATCTGAGATTTACTCAAAACATAAACTTCTGTTGCACTGGACATCATGGGAGAACTTCTTAATGGGTGTTGCCTGCATGTCTGCACAAAGGGTACCCCAGCACTATTAGCTGTTAAGCCTTGTAATCATCCAGAAATACATCCTCTACAAAATTTAGTTGTAAAATGTAACTTAACTGCCCTAAAGAATGTTTAAAAATTTAGGAAATAGGAAACAGATACTCAGGTTAAGAAATCTGCTTAGGATAACCTGGTACTTTTTAATCCTTTTTTCTTTCTTTGAAGAGAAATTTATCTTCTAAGTAAATTCATGCACTAAAAAAAGAAAAGTTACATTATGTCATTTCGCATTTTGTGAACTAAAACCAAAAGACAAGACCCCTACAGTTATGGGATTGTCTGTGATATCCCTCACAGTCAGACAAAGATTCAGAGGTTCAGTGAGATTTGGAAATCGCTGCACTGACTTCTTGCTCTTTAATTTGGATCCATGTGAAACCTTTACCTGTAGTTTTGTCTTCCATGAACATGTCGAAGGCAATCCTCCCGGTGGGCCCTGCGTCGGCAGGGGAGCGCTCATGCTGTGGCAGGGGAGCGCTGCTGAAGGTGTCGAGCATCACCGTCCTCTGGTCAGCTGAGCCAGAGATCAACACGTTGTCAATAGCCCAGTCGTTCTGGTCCAGGCCATCGTGTTTAGGCTGCCACCAGCGGAAGCGTGTCCCAATGGTTTTGGCGTCATAGGGAAGGAGGATGTTTACAAAGCTGAAATAAAAAGTGGAAATTAGCTGTAGGAAAGCCACAGGAGGAGGATGCTTCTCAATGCTCTGTGCTGGGTGCTTTGACCATGTCCACTCCCATTCTTTCCTGGAGTATGTGGAAGTTGGGAAAGAAGGAAAAGACCAGGTGACATAGCCTATGTTCCCCTACGGGAGATTGCTGAAACAAAAACCTTCCTGATCCCAATGTCATCCCTGGGAGAGAGGCTCAGGGTGAGGGGGAAAAGGCCAGCAGCCAGACTGGGGCATGGTTTGACCCAACCTCATGTGCTTCAACTGTGCTTATGGGACAAAATGCAATGGTCTAGACTAGCAGGATATGACCGTAAGGTCCTAATTAAGGGAATCGTTAAGAAGGAGAATGTTGAAGTAAAATTAAGATTACTGTTTTCAATCTGGAGCCATTCAGCAGATAGCAATGTTCCAGTACACTTTTCTTATTTCCATTGTAACAGTAGGTGGTAGTACCACTTAAATCTTTTGTTCAGTTAAAGTGCTAGTGATTTTTTGGTATGTTCAAATAAAATAACAAATAATGGGTCCCTCCCAGCCCCATTTTCTATGGGTCTTTTAAATTAGTCATTGAGAAAAAGGTCCACCCATATCTATGCATTATTTGAATCTCACAAATATCCGAAAATAGGGCTTGACTGTATCCATCCTTTTGACAGATATCTGCAGAAATTCAGTTTCTCCTCTACACACCATTTTCTAACTAGTTCAAACAATGACTTTCTGCTCTTGTCAGTAAGAAACTAGATTGCAAATGAAAGTATCTTAAAGAACAGGATGGACATCATTACGGTAGCTATGAACTTATCTTCCTGAAATCATTTACAAGTCTACCAGACTGCTACAGACTCCTTTTCTGCCCTTGTATTTCTGGCCTAGCAGCTGCACAAATGCTGATGCTCAAGCACGTGCGCTAAGGCCATTCATAAATGCTTGCTTGACTGGACAGGCTGAACTCTTAAAGATCTGACATCCAAACCACAGCAGTAACATGTCCCACAGGATCTTATGGAACGTTACTTTACACCTTACTTTAGTACAGGAAATTATATAGGCAGAAGAAGGTATCTACAAACCCGGGCTTGCTGAATTGATCATAGAAAATTTCCATTAAGAGACTCCAGGTGATTCCACCATTCACAGAATACTCCAGCAGCACTCCTTGGTTGCGGTTATTAGGAGTTATCAGACATCCATACATGAAATAAAACTGGATGAATTCTGCACTGGTGAGGTTCAAGTCCACTGTAACTAACATACGGCTGCAGCCCTTAAAAGCAATGAAAAAATGTGTTGGCTATCAAAACTTACGAACATAAAATTTGTTAGACTATGCAGTCACTATTAATATAACTTCATGTTGTAAAACCTTCAAAATTACACAAAATTGTACTAATTGTAGCAAAGGTAAAGCTACAACAGAACAATAAATGTTATTCCCTGAGGACATAATTTCAGTTATGTTCCATCTTAAAAATTCCTGTTGTGTATTCTTACATGTTGCTACTTGTACCTACATCTTTACAACATTCAGTATCAAGAATTGTATTCACCTTTCTTCTGAATACAAGAGTTACAAAAATCCATGCCTCCAGTGTAAAACACAAGGTTTTCCAGGCAGAATTAATGAATCACTGATTATGTGCTAATGGCTCAGTTTATGCAAACCATCAAATGGCACAGTAAATTTAATACGTGTGTTTTCCCATAATCCCTTATATATTTCACATTACTTAGCCTATTAGTGGTGCCTACTTAGTCCTACTGTAAAGAAGTGGAAATGTAATGCTTCTATTAGTTTATTTTAGAAAACTTGCATCAGTTTGAACCTAGTTATAAATTTGCATGTAAGAGATCCACAAGCATAAGTTTTACATGTTTCTAAAATACTATTTTGTCATTTTTATGAGGTTATCTGAGGTTGTCTGTAAGCAAACTGTAATTCAGCAGCAGTCTGGGTTATATACTCATGTATGTAGCTAAACCAGGAAATTTTATTCTGAGCTTAGTCTGAAAAAAAATCAACAATGAAATATCTGAAGGATGAGGCTACACATGGATGTATTTTCAAGGACCAAATGCAAGTTATACACATGCAAATACCTGGTTATTAATTTACCTCTGTGGTCTGATTAGAAGCCGCACCCAAACTCTGGTCTTTGGAAGTTGTAAGTGCTATGAGGAGGCCATTATGAGTGAGGGGGACTGAATGTCTACATTCTGGGACTGTGCTTTAATCTATCAGCTCCACCGCCAACAGCCCCCGATGGCTCCCTTCAGGAGGCACACACACGATATCTCATTTTCCTGGCTGCAGCACAGCCAGGAACATGGTACCTGCTTTCCTGGAGTGTTTCTGGCTTGCCCTGGTCTGTAGGACCTGTCTGACTTCGACTTTCAGCTAGGCAAAGGATGTAAGTTTTTTTAATATGTTACATGTTTAATATGTTATGCTGATAGTTTTTAACACCTTGTTATTTATTTAAATTTTAAAATCAGTCCCATTTATCCTGTCAAATGGAACGAGTTGGCCCCCATGCTGAACACACACCCCGCTGAAGTGAAGAGCCATCCCAGAGGCTACCGCCCCGCAGACGGTGCTCAGTTTGCCCCCGTTCACTGTCAGCCAGTTCTGGTTCGACGGCGAGCGATTGAAGTTATCTTTCAGTTGCATCGGAAGGGGGGTCTCTGGCTCGTCACAGTACAGCCCACCCCAGTGCTCATCGCAGCTGCAGAGGAAAACAAATGCAAGATTCAGCTGGCAAAGGCTCTGCACAGAAGTTTAGTCAGTGCCATGTTATTCCACATTAAGGTGCCATCTTATTCCGCGTAGAGGCTGCCTGCATCATTTACTAGCGCACAACTGGTACATGGGGGTTTCAAACATCTGCCACTGTTTCTAGTTAATATGAAACAAAAATGACTTTGGGAAGGCTAGTATTATGTATCGTTCAAGCTGCTAATATAGAGTACACTCCAGCACAGAGTAAAATCAGTAAAATACATTGTACTTGGATAGAGAAACCTAAGAGAGTGTGCCAAGCCCAAGAATGTCCTGCTAATGTCAAATTTTAAGTAAGTTTCTGTAAAATGTTGGTTGATGGGTACTTTCCTGTTGTTTCTTTATATAGTCCCCCTTTTTTTATTTCTCCTCTAAAAAACCTTCTTCTAGTGTGTCAAAGATTAGATAACGGCGTAGAAATGTGTTCTGCTACTATGCAGATTTCACCAGGGAGATTCTGCCTTGGTACTCCAGTGCTGTCAGGATGAGGATGGCACAATAATATGTCTATTCTGCAGCAGAATATATTTCTAACAAATATAGTCACAGCACAATTATACAACAATTCTCCCATTTCTGTTGCCATTTGTGGCTGGAAAAAAGCAATACATCCATCTGGAAGGTATTTCTTTGTTGCCAGACAGACAAATCTGGGGAGATGTGGTGGTTGTTTGTTAGCTTGGCAGGGCTCTGTGTGGGCGGTTGTACAGGCAGTTTGAGGATCAAGCCAGTCTGCCTCCACTGGCAAACCCTACCGTAGAGCAGAGGCATCAGGCCATCAAGCCAACACCAGTCCCAAGGCAAAATCTGGCCTTGTGAAGAACTGGTGTATATCCTTCTGCTTAGAGGACATATCCCACTTCCAGCCCAGGTCCTCTGCACCCAGTGCCAGGACGAGGGCACGGGAATACAGCATCAATCCCCTTGGGAATGAAGGATGACATCTTCTGGGAAGCTTCAGGTAGGTCCCTAGAGGGGTGTGCAAACTCAGGGTGTCCCTTCTCCCTCCCTGGTGGGAGGGGAGCCAAGCTGCAGCATAGGCAACAGCAGAGGCAGTGCATTGCCACTGAGGAAAGGACTGGCAGCGTCGCCCACGGCGTGTGAACGGGCAGAGGTCTGGCAGAGGCAACCCCCACACTTACCCCTCCTCTTGTTATTTCCATTCCCAAGTGGTCCCTGTGCCCTGCTCAGTTTTAAGAGCAAAATCCACCTTCCTCTTAAAAATTTTATCAAAGTCTTTCCCACAAGGTCATTAAAATGACAGAGGAGGAGTGGAATGCTACAGCGCTGGCAGGACAGGGAACAAACTGCACTTACATGCAGTTGTCTTGTGTGCACTTCCCATGGCCGCTGCACATGTCGATGCAGCCATCCCCAATGTAGACGTTGTCGATTGCCCACGTTTGCTGCTTGTCGAAAGGAGCAGGCTGGTGCCAGCGGAAACGAGTTGCTTGAGACCTTTGGGAGAGAAAGAAAACCAGAAAGTTAATATTTCTAGCTAAGCTAATCTTTATTTTGACTGAAAGGAAATGTCAGTCTTGAGTCTAGACTGATCTTGGAAGATTTATTTGATATCAGCACAACCCAGGGCTGATTCCTGACAACGACAAAGTCCCTGAAAAGCCCAGAACAGGGTGCCCACATTTTGAGAGCAGGACAAAGCACGGGTACTTGGTAGCATGCTGAGAGTGCGGGAGGTGGAAAAGGGATTGCTGGTGAGAGCAAAGCAAGCGGGGTGTGGTTGGCGCAGTGCAGAAGAGGGTAGGAAGAAGGTGGCACGCCCAAAGGGAAGATCCTGCGCAAGATGCTGCTGTTCATAAATCTACAGGTGAGAGTGCCCATGTGAGGCTTGCAGTGTGACCCTGGTTTTACAATTTCCTCCCTCCACTCCACCCAGGGTTTGGGTTATGGTGTTAAATGTTAAAAAGTGATCTGTGGCTTGATCCTGGCTCCTTTCAGTAAATCATTTTCCTTTCGTTGATTAAAGGGGGTTTAGCTCTCCATTCAAACACCTTGCTTTGATGTAGCTTTATGTGACTTAAGTGTCTCGGCTCCCAAGATAGATGATGAAAACCTAGCCGAAAGAGTCAGGGAACGCCAAATAGCTATTCAGCTCACGCAGCAGTAGACACCTATATCTGAATAGCTGCAAGTAGCTGAATCTCTGTGACTGTTCAAGAATATAATTTTAAATGCAAGCTAGTCCATGTTTTGCTGCCCAGCACTAGATGGCAGCATTGAACTTTATGTAGTCTCTTTTCTTTTGAAACTCAAAATCACAATTGTTGTAAACCCCAAAACAAGTAAACAGCAAAATCCTCAAAAATTATTCAGTGTAGAAATAGACCTTTTATAGTAAAGTCAATGTTATCCTATGAATTATTTCTTTATAAACATGTTATATGAGGTGAGTGAATAACAAGTTTATTCAAAGAGAAGTCTACTGCCATGCTGTCTAGCTGCTCACTGAAAAGTATTTTTAAAAGAAACGCGTAATTTCCAAGGTAGTCCTTTAGGAATAAAGACAAGCACCTATATCTTACACTGCCTGCTCTAGGTTTGGTGCTTCACTAACAATTTATGGAGCTGGTGCTCATGGGAGAAGCTTTGTATTTGCTTTGCATTTTAAAATCAGCTCTGAGTCTAAGATATAACTAAATGTTCATTACCTTCTGCAGGCACTAGATAACACTCTGGGGTACAGGAGCACTAAAATGCTACGTAAGTATGGGTGCTGTGCACCAGGCTAAGCTATTGACTATGTAGCCTGCATGTCCCTAAAACATACAGGCACAAACAACTGGAGACACACACCTGCTATTACACAGCTCGAAATAATAAAGCAGCATAAAAATTATATTACATCTAGACTAAAGGGCCTACTAGCTGCATTTATTCTGAAGCTTAACTTCTCCCTTGCTTGTGAGCTAAGGTTGTAATAACCTCTCTCATGCAATTCCTATCTTAATATCTTTGGGAAATGGTATTACTTGAGCCAACAAATATGATTATTGGATTGGACAGAAGAGCAATCTTTGCCTCAGTAGGGCATCAGACTTCTTCTTTTGCCATATACAGCTCAAAAACCTTTTCAGTCTTAAAATCACAATTATTTATAAGCCTGGGTTTATCTCAAGTGGTAGGTTCCCTTCAGGTCCAAATTCAATTGGTTTGGAATATATCAACCCCCATCCTGATTTATCCTATTGAGCCCCAGAAAGTCCTTCCTGAACACAGATTTACAGACTTTATAGAATAACTGTTGACGTAATGGATTTTTCAGACAATACATAGTGAAGCAGTAAAAAAGAGTAAGCAGAGGAGATCAATTCTGGGAACAAGTCCTAAAAAAGTACTATTACTTGATATGAAGCACTGCAGTGAAGACAGGGAAGAGTCTAGATGACCAAAATGATTTGTAATAGAACATGGACTTTTCCACTTCTAGATTCCAAACTTGTGGCAACTGCATAGGCACTCTCAGTACAATTGTGAAAAAAAAAAGGTCTCCATTTCCAAACTTACGTGCATTAGTTGATATCTTTCATAACAACCTTCTCAAACAGGCATAAGGCTCTGCCTGCACTGTGGCTACTTCTGTGCCTGCAGTTAGCTCAGCCCATGTCTACGTGAGGGGATTGGGCTCAGCAGCAGGAGCAAAGCTGTAGAGTGAAGTTGTGCTGAGAGCCTGACATCCATGCTACCTGCGCTTGCAGGGCTTTACTTTGGGCTAGGTCTACGCCGGCTTTAACGGGTATGACTGAGTGGGGGACAGTCACAGCTATCGCTGCGAAACAGCACATCAAGAAGGACACAAACTGGAAGGTTAACTACCCAGTTGTGCATAGATAGATCCATTTGACAAACCAAACGAAAGTCCAGCAGTTTTGGGGGCATCACAGGGAAATCATGGCAACACTCCCAAATAGTGCTGTCAGTCCCAAACAGCTCCTTCCACTGCCGCCTCCCAACAAATCCCACGATTTTTCTTCCTTCAAAGACAAAAGACTGTAGGAAAAGGAAGAGGAGATGGAAATGGGGCACATGTGAAAACAACGACAAGAGCATCAAAGCTGAGAGAGATGCAAGGGATACAAGGAATGGACAGAAAATCAAGAAGCCTGGAAAGTGTTACTGTTAAAGCACCAGCTCGTAGCCAAGAACAGCAAGCACAGGATGCAGGTGGGGATTCAGCCAGCCACCTAAACAACCAGAATTTAATTAGGCTAACGATAACATGAGATTCTTTAAAAAAGTTCCCCTGCTCCTGTCCCTCCCCAGGACAAGATGGACAAGAATTTCCTATCTTTAAATAACTGAGAGAAGTAAATGCACAGAATAGCTTTGCAAGATTTATGCAAAGCAGGATGGCGTTTCATTTACTTATACTTACTGCTTGCTATATACATGGACCAAACAAAAATGGCAAGGTACAATTATTTTAATGGTATAATGTATCATGCCTCAATACGTAATTATGCATTTAGAATTTATTCTGCAGAAAACCAGAGGGAGATACCTAGTATATGGAGGCAGAGGCAAAGTAATCCGGGTCCACTTGTTGAAAGTGTCCGAAATGAGAATCCTCTGGAGATGGTACTTGTTGCATTCCACATTAGTGGGGAGACAGTCTCTCAAAATTGGGTGCCAGGTCAGTCCAAGGTCCACTGAGTATTCCAGTTCAATAGCTGAGGGTGGAAAGATGCTTACTTACTTAATTTAGAGACTTACATCCATAGGTCTACAATAAAATGGTAACCCAGAGAGCATTAGTCACAAGTCCACACTGACAAAATAGCCACTCAAAACTTTTCAAACCCTTGTGTCAGAAGCACAAAGCTACCCACTTCGGTGGCAGTGCTGGAGGATACATTACGTGTTGCTGAGCAGGTATATAACTCAGGAGAAGGCTGCAATACACCTCTGTGCACCTGACACCTACCTCAAGGGACAACAGGTGCAAAGACAAGGTCATCTGTCGAGTCACCAGGATTAAGTCAAGCTGATGTCTGTAGTTGCAGCATGAAAGTAAGTGATGTGACAGCATCACAACCAGCAACCTTTTTTCGTTTCTCAGGCTGAAGGATGAGATTCAGCTGGATGTAATTGTTGTGTAAGACAGAGCAACACTCAAATTCAAGCTTCTGGCTCTGTCACAAGATGGTTTAGTTACTCTTCCACCCCACTCCAGACCAGCTCATTTTATTATCCAGCATAAACAATTTTAAATTGAGTTTGTTAGTCGGTGAGCTTGTTTTCATTCAAACACAGTCTAGACACATTAAACTAATGTATTCATTTATCAGCAAGAATCAGCAATTTCATTGTTTTGATGTTTATGGCTTATAAACATTTATTATAAAAAATAAAGGTCAGTCAAACTCACTAAATACTTCAAGTTAAACTTTTATGCAGCCATTAAAAAGTAAATAATAATAATAGGCACAGAACTCTAACTTGAAGTAAATGTTCCAGCTGCCAGGCATTCTGGCGGTGCAAAACATGGAGCATGGTTGCAGTAGCAGGGGTGGTAAATCTGTGATCTTTTTTGATTACTACAGACCCATTTCTTGTACCCTCATGCACAGAGAATGACCCTTAATCACCCAATCAGTCCTCCTTGATGTCTAAGCACAGAAGACAGTGCTATAGAAATACAAGGACAAGTGGACACAAACAAGGGTAAGTGAGTTTTTAGTGTTAAATCTCCATCACCAAAATGAAATTCTTTGCTCATCATGACTGGAAGCATGATTAGGTAGTGTTCTGCCCAATTTAATACAAAGTTAAAATAATTCTAAGTGTAGTAGACAAAGAAACAAAAAAAGAAGGAACTGTTTCTTTAATAGTATATAGCTAAGCTGCCAAAACACCTTTAAACTTAGCAGAGATGATCTCTGGATGCTGCAGTGCTTTTAATATCAAAACAAAAAAAATTTTGTTAAGCATGTGAGTAAAGTATCTCAGTCACTTTCATTGGATTTAGAATAGAAAAATCAGATAAAGCCACTTCTGGAACTTCATGTAAAACCTTTTTCCATTTTTGGCAGAATTCTAGAGGAATAGTCAGCAACCCAGTGAATTAACACATGCTGCAACATATTGTATTCTTCTCCTCACAAAAAAAATCTCTACCCCAAAACCCTATGTTAAAGAATGTAATTTAAGATGCACAAACAAGCATTCCAAAGCTGGGAAGACCTATTCCTTGTGCACCTTAAAATTCATGTAATGAACCAATTTTTAATTTCCATGTGATGTGTTCAGTGCACAGCATGTTTTTATTTAAATGTATGTATATGTGTATATATACATACACACATATAAAAGCATGTGGTGCTCTGAATATACATCATATGGAAAAAAAGGAAGCTAGGTAATTAAAAATCGCATCACTATGGGTAGATGTATGTATATACACACACATAGGTACCTATATCTATGCACACGTTCGTACACACATATATACATGTTTATTATTTCATATGGACGATACAGATTTTTGCAGTTGATGCTGACTTAACTTGTCAGAGGTATGCTGATATAAATGATGTCTTAGTTATAGAGGAACAAGTGAGATCTGAAAAAAACACGAAGCGAGAAACATATGCTGGAAACACCCAACTGCTTATTATTAGAACCGCAATGTCACCCCAAGCAGTGGATACCATATACTGGTAAATGGATTTGAGCTATTAGTCTTTTTCTTAAATGTATTGAGCTCCAACTTAGGTGCCCAGGGGGAATAATATACTTTAGTGTATCTTAGGCTTCAGACACCTAGAATAAAAATGCTGATATTACAGTTCCTAACAGGAACATGCAGCTTGCTTTTGTTTCTCAGTTCTCATTACGATGGATAATGGAACCAGAAAACAAGTGAACTTTCCTGTACAGGAGAGGAAGGGCAGGATTTACCAAGAAGTCCTTACCATAGCAGGAGTCCGTGACAGAGCAGGATGCTGCAAAATCTATTTGCAAGAAAGAGTCTTCGTTGACAACAATGTCAGTGGTGACAACGTAGCGCGTGCTAGCTTTCTCAATGAACACTAGAGCATCCCCAGTGGAGCCACAGACTGGCATCTTTGTTCCACCAGGATGGAGCAGCCACTTTCTACTATCCAGTGTGGTGAAATCATCTTCTAATACTGTATTGCCAGAGATGTTTCCTCCAATAAGAATCTGAAACATTAGGAAAGGAGTTGAAATTTTAGACAAAAATGTCTAAAAGTCTTCACAAACAAACATGTGGCATAGCATTGTAGAGGAAGAGATTTACCATCTATGCATATATATTCTGCTGGTCCAAAATGGACAAATTTATATCATAAAGAGTTTAGGTTATGAAGAAGGGGAATATATTTTTTCCTAAAAAAGGATCCTAAAGAGGTTGGCTCAGCTATACAAATGTAAAGTTCAGGAACTCCTGAACTTTACTTCATCCAGTTACTCCTGGATGAAGCAAAACTGCTCACAAAAATAAATGTTGGTAGGGCCAAAGCAATTACACTGTCATTTTTCCTACCAGCTTTTCAGATCTACGATAATCTGGTGGACTACTATCAGATTTCATCTGATGAGAGAACAGGGGAAATACTCTGTGTTTTTCCATTGACTGTAAGATGTCAGTATTTTGCTATTCGACAGCAAGCAAGGTAGAATTGATTTTAATTTGTTATTCTGAATTCAATTTCTGATTGTTCTGAACTAATATAACTACATGCACTAAAGATACAGGAGTGAAAGAATAAGGATTTTTTTATTTCTAAATGGAGGGATGGGAAGTAAAATTTTGTAACCACATCATTAAACGTGGCTGGGAGTTTGGTCTCTGAGTTTTTCCTAAGGACCCCAACTAACTGCTTTAAAAAAATCCATTCATAAGTATTTAAGCAAACTGAACTTGGACAGCCCAATAACACTACTTAGAGTGCAATCACTTCAGTAGGATTTTTTGAGATTTATACCAAGTCATACATAGCACTATAATAATCTTTACAGAAGCAAATCACAAATATGAAACAAAACTTTGTTTTCAAAATTAGAAGATGGACATAGATTAAAGTTTTTCTGTAGTTTTTCCTGTTCCATTCTACAAGCCAGTTACATATTTGGATAGATTTAAGTGAAGGGTTTTGACGTTTGAACTTAGACCTGCATGTTGCATGGTAAGGCCTTCTGCAATGTGAACCTGAGGCTCTACCTATGTATAAAAGACTTTCCTAGCTCCAAAATGGGCATCAGTACCCCACATGGAAATGGTGCATTGAAAACGCAAGATTAGCAAACAGCATTTGTGCTCTATTATTTTGGTAGATTATTATAACTCTGGAATATCTTTATACAAAGCATTTTTGCTTGACCCAGTGAAATGACATATGCCAATAAGAGGGGAACATTAAGACTGACATTTTAAGTCTTAAAGTTATATTAAAGAAACAACTCAGAAGATTCCTTACCTGGTCGATTACCCAGGGACTGTAGAAATGCCCGTTCTCGGATGGTTGCCACCAGCGAAGCCGAGTGGAGCTGGAACGGGCCTTCAAGGGAATTTCTAGGGCGATGTATCGTCCCACGTTGCTGGAGTTACTGAAGAGGAACTCCTGGAGAAGGCTCCACGTGAGGCCCCCGTTGAGCGAATACTGCAGAAGCACAGGTTGGCTCCTGGGGTCTGGCACACCCTTGCCGCATCCCAGTCTCATGAAGAACTGCACAAATCTGGCAGAGGGAGCAATTAATGGGAAGATTTCTTTTCTGCAACATCCTAGATAACCAACTAGAGAGACTTGGAGTTTGTTGGCTAGCCCCCTGATTTCTTGCTGTAAAAGTCAGCTTTAGCAGATCTTACAATTTCCTTTTCAAAGCCTCCAGAATATAAGTAGACAGACAGGTGGGATGGCAAAAATTCATTTTGCTTACGTGGTATTTTGCAGGCAGAAGAGGCTGAACAAAGCTGGTCATTTATGTTTTGAGCTTTTGTCTGTGTGGCAGATGGTGTTGCAAATATCAGAAACATAATCCTGGGTGAAATTTTTATCCCTGTAGCCCATGAGTACAGATTTTAGTGGCAGAAAAGCAATGGTGCCCTAAGTAGATCATAATTTGCTATGAGTTTGCTGAAATGCTTAAATCCAAAATAAGCATCCCAGTTTTCCACTGGCATAAACTAGAGAAAATCTGGACAGAAGAACAAAACGTTTCACTTCCAGGGATCATTTTGTCCATTTAGTCAGCCTGGGAAATTTGTCTAAATCACATCGCTTTTACATGTACTGGCTTCCATGAAGCTGGTCCAAGCCACCCAGGGACACCAGTGCTTTCATCCCCTATTTAATTGGCTTCTCTGAAGCAGCACAATAGACTTGTATCAAACCGCGAAGTTCTTCCCGTTATCTGATGCTCATAAATAGCTGTACTATGCACTTGGAGCAGAGGGAACCTCTGCTGTAATGATATTTACCTACCAGACTTGCAGGGATATTACAAGTATTAATTCATGTTTGCACAGCTTTTGCACAGCTTTAGAGTGTCCTATCTCTTCTAATGATTATTGCGTTAGTGCTGCCTGGCTCACGGTTAAATGAAACAGCCCAAAAGATGTTCTGTATCAAAAGACTTGCTCTGGTTTGATCTGCAGGTAGATCTGCTGGGAGTAGAGGCTGCAGAGGCGCTGGGCAGACAAAGCCTCAATAAAACACCAGGCCTGCAAGTCAATTAATTCTAGTCCTCTCTGCGACTCATGGTTTCTCTTGCTACTATATATAACTTCTTTTGCTATAGGTTATATCCACCTCCACGTCCCAGACATAACATATTGCTTGTGCTGTAAAGGAGCATGGGGGACGCTCACGGATCAATGTATCAACTGTAATGGATTGGATTCACTGCTGGCAAGTCTTTGTGCCTCCTCAGATTTACTCCAACATTCACCACATAATTCAAAGGAAATAAGCCCAGGTGACCTTGTCTCTGTTGCATTCTCTCTCTGTGGATTCCTATTCTTTTATCTGAATTTTTGTTAATGCAGTAATAACTTACTCAAATATAAGTAACAGAACATCTAGCAGATTAAAAAGTAAAGTTATTTTAAATATCTCTCTTCTCATCTGTCCTGGTTTTGGCTGGAATAGAGTTAATTTTCTTCCTAGTAGCTGGTATAGTGCTGTGCTTTGGATTTAGGATGAGAATAATGTTGCTAACACACTGATGTTTTTGTTGTTGCTGAGCAGTGTTTACACTAAGTCAAGGACTTTTCAGCTTCTCATACTGCCCCACCAGCGAGAAGGCTGGGGGTGCACAAGAAGCTGGGGGTGCACAAGGCCTGGCAGATTGACTCTATCACACTCCCACATACGCAGCCAGGACAGCTGGCCAGGAATATTCCATACCATATGATGTCATTAGTATATAAACTAGGGGAAAGCTGGCTGGGGGCCACTGCTCGGGAACTGGCTGGGCACTGGTTGGCAGGTAGTGAGCAATTGCATTGTGCATCACTTATTTTGTATATTATTATTATACCTTCCTTTTCTGTCCTATTAAACTGTCTTTATCTAAGCCCACGAATTTTACTTTTTTCCCTGATTCTCTCTCCCATCCCACTGCAGCTGGGGGACAGTGAGTGGATGGCTGTGTGGTGTTTAGCTGCCTGCTGGGTTAAACCACAACAGTCCTTTTGGCACCCATTGTAGGGCTTGACAGGTTAAGATAATGCCAGATCTGAAAAACACAATGTCAGATAGAAAAAATGTGTTATAAGCATTCATTATATTAGCTTAATACTTCCTGGTCACAATGTTGAGTTATTTGCTCTCAAAGTTGTGCTTGTTCTCCGAGTTGTGTTATGTAACACCTTGCTTGCAGTATATGTTCCCTATTGTGCTGTGTATCACCTCTGGGAGCTGGGTTAAGGTTACCATTTTGCTGTACTTTGTAACACTGGCTTATGTATGATGAAATGTCTGGTCATGAGACTTATTTGTACTCAGCACTGCTGTCATCTCTGTACTTCAGGAGCCATCTCTCAGAAACTATTAATAAATACACTCTACTTTTTCTCCTCAGAGAGCCAATCTATGGGGGAGACAAGGAGGGGACACTTTCCCCCACTCCTTAACCCTCCCTTTCTCCTTCAACTTCCCCTTTTCCTCCAGGCTAGTTACAATAGCTGTTGAGAATTTTGAATATCCTTGGGATGTTCAAACTGGCATGTTCGTGTTTCTATGTCTCCTACTCCTGAATACATTTCAGGTCTTGTTTAAAGTTAAAAAACTATTTAAGAATACCACCCAAAGATCTGCCCTGAGGCTGGGTAGTTATGAGTGGTAGGGTATGTGGGACAGTATGGGCAAGCACCTAGGACAGTGGGCACCTACAGTGCTTTGGAACTTCACCCTGGAATAATGCAGACTCCTGAAAAGCTAGTAAAATATTTGGAAAAAGTGTGCTGTCACCCTGACAATTCCAGAGAGACACAAATCACTGCAACGTGCTAGGGCCTGTCCTGTCCTACCGAGCCCTGTTTCAACACTATTCGGTACCCTCGAGGGGAAGAGAAAGTCTCTGGATCTGACAACAGAATGACAGGCAGTGCGACTTCTCCAACCCCAGCGACAGGCACTGCAGCTACTCCAGCCTCCACAATAAGCACTGTGGCTACTCCAACCCTGATGACAGGCTGGATGTTCAATGGGAGGGTCCCCTTTACACATCACACAACTGATGCTACATGGAGTAAGTGGGTCGCACTGTATAATAAACTACCAGAAAATGAGAAACAATATGCCCTGTTCACTGATGGGTCCTGTCGTAGGAAATGTAGGAAAACATTGAAGGTGGAAAGCTGCTGTGTGGGGTCCTACATGATGAGTTGCAGAAGCTGCTGAAGGACAAGGTGAATTGAGTCAGTTTGCAGAGGTGAAAGCCACCCAGCTGGCTTTAGATATTGCTGAATGAAAAAAATGGCCAGTACTCCATCTCTATACTGACTCATGGATGGTGGCAAATGCTCTGTGGGGGCAGCTACAGCAATGGAAGCAGAGCAACTGGCAGCGCAGAGGTAAACCCATCTGGGCTGCTAAATTATGGCAAGATGTTGCTGCTTGGGTAGAGATGGTCGTAAAATTACATCATGTAGATGCTCACATACCTGAGTCAGGCCACTGAAGAACATCAAAACAACCATCAGGTGGATCAGGCTGCTAAGATTGAAATGGCTCAAGTGGATTTGGACTGGCAACATAAGGGTGAATTATTTATAGCTTGGTGGGCCAATGACACCTCAGGCCATCAGGGGATAGATGTAACATATCGATGGGCTCATGATTGAGGGGTGGACTTGACCATGGACACTACTGCACAGGTTATCCATGAATGTGAAACGTGCACTGCAATCAAGCAAGCCAAGCGGTTAAAGTCCCTCTGGTATGGAGAATGATGGCTGAAATATAAATACGGGGAGGCCTGGCAGACTGACTGTATCACACTCCCACAAACCCACCAAGGCAAGCACCGTGTGCTCACAATGGCGGAAGCAACCACCGGATGGCTGGAAGCACATCCTGTGCTCCATGCCACCACCCGGAACACTATCCTGGGCCTTGAACAGCAAGTCTTATGGCAACACGGCACCCCTGAAAGAATTGAGTCAGACAATGGAACTCATTTCCAAAACAACCTCTTTGACACCTGGGCCAAAGAGCACGGCATTGAGTGGGTGTATCACCCTGTCACGCGCCAGCCTCTGAGAAAATCGAATGATAGAGTGGACTGTTAAAGAATACACCGAGAGCAACGGGTGGTGGGACATTCAAACGTTGGGACAGACATTTAGCAAAAGCCACCTGGTTAGTCAACACTAGGGGATCTGTCAGTTGAGCTGGCCCTGCCCAATCAAAACTTTTACGTACTGTAGAAGGGGATAAAGTCCCTGTGGTGCATGTAAAAAATATGCTGGGGAAGACAGTCTGGGTTATTCCTGCCTCAGGCAAGGGCTAACCTTGGGATTCAAGGGATTACTTTTGCTCAAGGACCTGGGTCCACTTGGTGGGTGATGAAGGAGGATGGGGAAGTCCAGTGTGTTTACCTCAAGGGGGTTTGATTTTGGGCGAGAATAGCCAATGATTTGAACTGTATTATGTTAATTGCTTTTTAATATTGGTGTTTAGCTGCCTGTCGGGTTAAACCAGAACATCATCCCATAGATATTTTGCAAAGGCTCTGCTTATTTTGAAATAGAAAACCAAAGTTTCTTGTAGTCCTAGTAACACTAAAATGTGTGGATATTCTTCTAGTAATTCAGAATTGAAAGGATTTGATCAGGTGCGATACCTAAAATACGTTGTCCCTACTGATATCTGATGCTGTGCAGTTTCAGCTACTGGTATCACCATGATGGTGATATACTGTCCCCTGTGTTAAATCCTTTAAGATATAGATGTGATGGGAGTGGATAGTGGGTTGCAGAGTCCACTCGCAATCCCCAGGTGCTGAGCGTGGCTTGCAGCACCGACATCACTGCTTGCCTGTGCACTTCAGGGGATCTCCTCAGAAGAAAAAGGGAGGTTTTAATGCGACTACTTAGTCTAGTCGTACCCTTTAAAAGATCTATTAGAAATGCTGGTTCTCCTCATTCCTGGCATAAATTGAAACCTCTCCTCAGATCTGTTGTGCTTTGCAGGTGACCTATGGAGTCAGCCTGGAAATTAAGAAAATCCCATTGCAACTATTTTAGGTTGCTAAAGAGCAGGCCCCAGCAATGCCGTTGCAGTCTGCCTTGCTGTTCAGAAGAGAGCGTACAGTTATTTGTTGACAACTGTTATTTTTCATAAGCATATGCAAGAAATTGAACGTACTGCTTTGTTTTCCTTTTACTAAGACAGAAGTAATTTATCTCCATAACACCTGGAGGTCAGTATATGCAAATCCAGCTACAGACTATCACGGAGAAGAGATGAATGATGGTTCTTTGAATACGAGCAATAAGGAAAACATGTCATTTAGTCTAATGGAGCAAGTTACAAGATCTCTTGTATCTTTTGTTAAACAATCTTTTAATTTCAGAATGGTCTAGGAAATCAAATTAGGGCAGAGAATTGATGTTTGTGTTTTCCAAGTTCTGAAAAAAATTGCTGAGAGGAATCTTACAAATTCAGTACAGGGATCTTTAATATTACACCTCACTGAGGGTTAGCTAATTGCTGATCTAAAAAATACAACGGTTAGAAATTAGGCATCTTTATTGACCATAAGGCTCTGCAATTAAACGATTATTTAAAGCTTCAGTGCTAATGAAGACAAGTCAAAAAGAGATAAATTGTCTATTAAAGTGTTTCCCACAGGATATTAGAGAGGAGTAGGGTGTTTACAAGAGATCAGTGGAGAAAAGTCTCGGAGAAAATGCAGGCTTTCCAAAGTAATAATGTAAGGATATAAGCTAAGATACTGAATGAATTAGAAAACAACGCCTATTTGTTAGCATGCACGCAATTAGGATGTGGTTTAATTTGTACTAGTGTGAATTTTTTTAATGTGGCTTGCTTAGCATGTCTCACACATCAAATACCTCCTCTGCAAGCAGTAATGATACAACATAATCTCTAAATACACTAAAAATATTTGTTTTTCAGTTGCTGTGCTCACTGTAGCTGGTGACAGCTTGCTGGGAATTTCTCAGTGAATTATTGGAAACAAATGTGCACAATAAGAAGAAAGTAAGCTTCACAATTGGAAGAGTTATGAGATGATGAATGTAAGAGTTACACTGGCAGCAGATACTCCTGTTTCAGCAGTGGTTCATCATACAACAAACTGTAAGAAAAACAGAGCATGTGATGTGCAATCTATTTCTCATGTTATGCATTTAAGAAATAAAAACTCGCATAAACTACTGAAGGTGTGGCATCAGATCCTGGAGTTCTTATTCAGGAAAAAAGTAACATTTAAATGGTTAATCCCGTGAAAGTTCAAGTTAAATTTAATTTAAAATGCTAACAGTGGTTAAAATGGAATATTTGCTAGAGTAAGGACCACAGAATGTATCAGCTTGCCCTTACCACAGCAGTACCACATAGGTATTATTCTTCAGTGAAATCCTGAAAGAACTTTGAAATTGTGTTACCTGGCTTGTGACAAATCTAGGTCTCGAGTCATCAGCATACGTAAACCTTCTTCATTAAAGAAAAGGTTGTTTCCTCCAGACATGATACCGCATTTCCTTGATGGCTTTCCACCACTCACAAGCAAGAATCTATCAGACTCCAGCTGACCTGAATACAGAGTAAATACAGATTTATGATTTACTCCGAGGTGCTCCTACTGCAAACGTACTATTTCCAGAGGAAGAGAGCTAAATTAAACATCACATGCAGAGTGAACAAACATGCAGTTGTTTCCGATGCAATGTTTTCTAGGAAATTGCCATAAATCAAAACAAAATAAACAAAACCAGAAGTGTGAAGTTGGGGATCTTAGCCTCCAGTTATTCACAGGTTTTTCTAATTTTCTTCTTTTTTTTTTAAAGATAACAACAAAGTACTCAGGTCTATAAAGAAACTTCGAGTGCCATGTGGTAGCATACAAGCAAGGGCTGGCAAAATTGAAAATGAACAGCAGCACCTATGAAGGGATGAGTTGGGTTCACAGGTGCTGCTTTATTCAAAGTGCTCTTCTTGCCATGTATCTTGTATTAAGGCCACTTAGATGTCCCTTGTAGTGAGAAAAAACACAACCTCAAAGCCCTCCATTGTATGCCTCACTTGCATGCGCTCTGTCTGTGCTAAAGTCAAACTACCATCAAACCATCATTTTCTTCTAAAATTATTTTCTACATGCAGTTTCAGGAAATTCTATTTTGGTGAAGACTTTGTATTCCAGCATTAACAACTTCACAAAGAGTCAGACACTCCAAACCAGACAACTGATAGCCATCAGACATTCACAAACCGTGCCTGAGAACGACATCTAAACTACTTGGTTAATGGCAACAGTCCCACAGCATAAATTAAATTCAGAAGCATGGAGAGGTGAGGAAGACTTTGCTGTTTCATCCCTCGAGCCCTGAGTTCCACTAAGACAGACAGGCAGAATTCAGACCAAAAAAAAGGAGAGAGACCTTCAAAATCATCCTTAAGGAAGTCAGCATTCTTGGTACTTATTTTGCAGGTTGGCCCAGAGTACCCGGGGTCACAGATGCACTTTGTGCCGTTGATACAGCTGCCGTGGCCGTTGCACATCTCCTCGCACTGCGGGCCAATGTACACGTTGTCAATGGCCCAAGTCACTGGCTGGGATCCAGCAGGGTAAAATCCTTGGTACCATCTGAACCTTGCCAACCTGAAAAAGGCATAAAGTGTACTTATTTTAAGTAATAGTTCCATCTCTTTTGTATCCCATATATATACCATACTATGCATATATATATATAGAGAGTATTCTTTCTGTTGGAACTGGCTTGATAAATGGCTTAATTCCAGAAAATGACTGGTATATCTAATTCCTTCAGGACCTCACGCATCTTTGTGTTGGCAGTCAACCCAAGTACTGACAGAAATAAAAATAGCATTATTCATTAGTTATAGTATCAAAACTGAATGACGGACTTGAAGATGGGATTTGAAATCTAACAACTCTTCTCTCCATTGTGCATGGGGAGGATGAATGGCCGTGGTGTGACAGATTTCCTTCTGCTTCGGCGTACGGTGTCTGGGTCAGACCAGGCCACTTCCACCCTCTTCCGGAGAGTGAAATCCTACTTCATGCTGCCACCCTGGCCCCAGGGAGACCACCTGTGGAGCTGGAGTGGTAGGATCTCACCCTCAATTATGTGGAAAGAAAACACGATCTGCCATGTCACCAGGTATTCAGCTTGCTTTCGGGCGGCTTAATCTTAAACTAGACTGATATTGCAAGTTGTTAATTTAAACTATATTCTCCTTTGGGTGCTGTCCTGTCATTTTTAATTTGACTCCAAAGTGCTACTCACATCGATGCTGCATATAAAAAGGAACTGACTGGGGAAGGAGGGAAAACAAATTGAGATGGGGAAACACACTTGAGAGACTAATTTTATTCCCAGTTGAGAAAATGTTTTAAAGGGGGAAGGAAACCAGAAGAATGAGAAGGGAAAAGCCCTTTGCCTTGCATGTTTAATGTGTCTTGTTACAGATTTCTAAATGCAGCAGGTGAATCAATAGCACAGATAGCTGACAAGGTTTTTTTGTCTTGATTTGCTGAAAAGGAATTTTTGAGGGGATTCAGGTGATAAAGGATAGCTGATCGGTGGGGACACTACTAACATTTCTAAGAAAGATACTCGAGAACCAGAGTCCTGCTAGAAGTCAAAACCATTGATTTTAGTGTGCCTTGAGGTGAAGCACATAAGTGTGAGGGTGGAGGTGTTTAAAAAAAAACCCCAACATAGTGGAAATAACAAAAAATGTCTTCATCTTCATTTAAATTAACCACTTGACACTTTGGGAGTGAAAAGGCTGGGTTTTTTTCAGAATTACACAAGGAGTCAGGTTTGGATTTTTTTTCTTGTTATTCCAGTAGATTCAGGTGGAGAAAATCCCCTTCAGGCCTCTGGCCCAAGAATTTCATGGCTGCTGTGTTTGGCTGGCTATCAGCAATTGGCTTCTGGCCTGGCATGTTGGGGAAGGAATAGGAGGGAAGGCAGGCAAATGCGACAGAAACACTCAGGAACAGAGGACTAAATAAAAATACCTGCAAGTTTCAAATGAGTTAGGAGTCTGAATAGTCAAAATTTTCATTTGGAGGGTTGTATTGGTAGTTGGGTAAAGAGTCAAATAATTCTTTTGGGTAAAACCAGAAGGATAAATGAGCTGCTGCAAGAAATGGTTACCTATTCCATGCTTGAAATGTTAGCTGTCAAGAAACAGAAAATTCAAGTTTAAAATTTAAACATTTTCTTAAATTATTAAACATCCAGTCTTTCCAAACTTGGTTCTCATCTCTTATATAGGTCTTTTCGTACTTTCAGAGGTACATTTGGGGCCACTAATTTAGTGGAAGGCCCATTGCACGCAGTAGTTTCATAAATACTCAGTCTCATATTTGCACAGACTCATAAAGTGTTGTAGTTGCATAGCTCATTTTCATTCATATATACTACAGTTTAATTCTTAATGATGTGATCATTTACATAAACTGAGTTGATGCTAGAAGACAGTTTTCCCTGAAAAAGTAAACAATACTGTTTTATACTTTGAAACATTACATATGATTATGCCTGCTAGCACCTATTTTTCTGTGCTGTGTATCAGTTATCATCCAACCTAGCTTTCCTACAACCTTTACGTTCCTGAGGGATGGCATCAGTTAATTTCTTAGAGAACTTTGCAGCTACAAGAGACCTCAGGTATTTAGATAAGTCCATTTCCTTACACTAAAGTAGAATCAAGTTTATACTAGTTCATATTTTACTGCATTTTCTAATGAATCTCAAATTTTATAGAGGAATATAAAGAGCATTGCAGGAGCTTTAGTCAGTTTTGCATTCATTTTACTATGCAACTGACTTCCATAAAAATGTCACCAATTAGATATATGGATAAATAGGAAATTATCTGTGGTTATTCTACATTAACATGAAGCACAACATATTTTTGGGAATCACCTGAACATTAATTGCCATTCAGGACGAAAAGGAGAGCAAAACTGATCATCTAGTCTGCTCTAGAGCTGCAGTTCTTACAGACCACTCTTGTGCTGGGAGAACACTTCGGCTGGAAAACAGAAGTGAAAGCAAACCAACAAGCAGTTGGGTGGGAATAGGAGCTGGACACCTACCCACAGAGGTGCAGTTTTCCGAAGTGAATGACCTCCCTTCTCCAGCCCTGGGTGGTGCCTGCGTAGTAAGTGCTACTGGGGTGATGCTCGGTGGAGCACAGGGAGCTGAGGTGGCTGCTGCTGCTGTAGCACAAGGGGAGCAGGAGGTGCCAGGTCGCCCCCAGATCTCGTGAGAACTCCAGCTTGACCGGGTCGGCAGAGGAGCTGTCGGTGGTGCAGCCGATATTGATCTGAGGGCCGAGACATGAAATGCAGAAGATGACACAGGGCAGGCTGTGGGACTCCTAACTCCTCTTCACCTTAGTCAGCCTCCCCCTTTTGGTACGGTGTTCATTTAGCCCAGGAAAATGGTGATTTGGGAACTCATTTAACAACCGGGATGACGCACTCAGGACATGCCCATGAACATGAACTCTTGCACATTGCCTTACCTGTCCATGGGCCTATTGCACTCTGGCTTATCATAAAATGGATGTAACATGAAAACCCCAACTAATTCCACTAAGAGAAAACCATAAAGTTAATGAGGAAGGACCCCAAAGGAGAGCTGCTAACACTGCTGGATCAAATGCATCAGCTCTTGCAGAACTCTGGCAGCTACTGAAGTAACCACAGCACCAAAAAAATGTGCATTTTTAAAACCAGAAATACTAAAACAAAATGTGCAAACATAAACTTTTTGTTAAATTACTGAGCTGCACTATGCTCCTCTTTTATGTTATGCTTCTAAAAAAAAAAAAGCTTATGCCACAGGACGTGTGTTGTATCACTTCAATATGTTCTTCAGTTCTCATACTCACTACCCATTTGGTCATGTATAGTGGCAAAGCTCTAGGAGACAGCATGAAAAGAGTATCATAGCTGGACTGGATCGAGATTCAATGTCACACCAAAACATAGTTTGGCAGTGACAAACTTCTCAGGATGTTCTTACAAGATTCCTCATGTACGAACTGTAGAAAAGGCAGAAAACTTACATGAAAAACAGTTCTACTGCTGGAAAAAATATAAAATGAGTTTTGTTCAGAATCTGAGACCTCTTAAGACATATCTGCTGCATGCACCCAGTGCAATTAGTCTGCTTTTCTTTCACACTGATATTAAATTATTCTTTTAGTTTCAAATTGCTTATATAAAAGAAGAAGAATTAGTTCCCTTACAGGATGACTCTATCATATAAAATAAGATGTACTATCAATAAATAAAAACCCCTCCTGGTTTTGGCTGGGGTAGAGTTAATTTTCTTCCTAATAGCTGGTATAGTGCTGTATGTTGGATTTAGTATGAGAATAATGTTGATGACACACTGGTGTTTTTAGTTGTTGCTAAGTAGTTGTAGTTGTAAGACTTTTCAGCTTCCCATGCTCTGCCAGCAGGGAGGTGCATGGGAAGCTGGGAGGGGGCATAGCCAGGACAGCTGGCCCAGATTAGCGAAAAGGATATTCCCTACCGTATAATGTCATGCCCAGTATATAAACTGGAGTTGGCCGGGGCGTGGGGATTACTGCTTGGGGATGGGCTATCGATCACTGGGTGGTGAGCAATTGTTGCATTGTGCATCACTTGTTTTTGTATATTCGTTTATTATTATTACTGTTATTACTATTATTATTATTTCCTCTTCTTTTCCTGTCCTATAAAACTCTGTTTATCTCAACCTACAAGGTTTTTTCCTGATTGTCTCCCCCACCCACCTGGGGGTGGGGAGGCAAGCGAGCGGCTGCATGGTGCTCAGTTGCCAGCTGGGGTTACACCATGACAAAACCCATTGCCGATGAAATACAAAGCGTGTACTAAAAGTATGAAGCATTTTGTGTTTTTTACATTTTCTTTGTAGTGGAAAATAAGTGTCTTTCTAACATGCTGCTCTGTAATGAAAATCTATCTATTTCTAAAACCCAGTAGTACACAGAACTGTGCATGAATGTTGAAAATATATCCTACATTGAATTTCCTTCATCGCTCTTCAGCACACATGAGTCCCGTCAACCTACATTTGACTAGAAAGGTTGTCTACTCATCTGGAAGCTTAGAGAGATGCTTGACCAAATATGGGTTTTGACTCTTGAGACACAGAGAGAAACTGTATTGCATTATGCATAACTTCTTAATTTATACTAATGTCCTCAAAAACGTGATCTGAAAACAATGTTCTTACCACATATGGAAGTAAGCATGTAGATTTTATGAGGTTAATGCTCTGAAGACTTATGAATATCTTAAAGTGACCTCAAACATTTTTGTTCTACAGGCTGTAATATATATTTTAAAACAGAAAATGGTTTGCATTCAATAATTCATGAATTAGTTGCATGACAAACAGAAATGTGCATGAGTACACAGCTAAACCTAGTTTTCTTGGAAAATCCTCGGCATTATTTTAGTAATTGTTTATAAACTGATATCATTTGCTGTTTAATACTACAGCATACTACATCTTTGTTAAAAGCAGCCTGGTAATTTTGGCATGACCATTTACATGAAAGATTCTTTTACAATTTCTTAATGACAATATAATGACCCCTGTAAACTAATACGTGCTAGGCTAAATGGTTACTCCCACCAGTAGCTGCCCTAGTCAATGCATAATTTAGATTTTAGGATAAACCAGAAACACAGTTTAGTTAGACTATGTGTTGTCATTGGGGTACCTGTTTCAACTGACTATATGAGAAGCACAAAAAATATGCTCCTTATTCATGAGCTTTAGATAATTCCCTAAGATGGGATGAATTCGGGCCATCATGGCCAAAGAACAGCTTCCTCCAGGGCAGAAGCAAAAGGAAAGCAGAACCTTGGTTCTCTGAGAAAGTACAAAAGTGCAGGTAGGAAAAATTATTACTAGTGTCACAGATGAAGTCGTAGGTCTCTGCTGGGTCAGCCTGTGGAAATTCTGCACACTTATCCTGAGCAGGCTGTGAAGTGGCAGTGTGGACCCTCGTTATATTTTGTGCCTCATCTTGTCTGCCGGTGGTGACTCTCCAACTTGTAGGACGTGGACTTTAATGCTATTAGTGCAAGTATGTAGGCATGGGCAAAGTTGTAATTTAGGCAAGAAAGTAGAAGACTTTGAGGCAGAAATTTCCCTTATCTGTGTATTAAAAGCTTCATGATACACTCACATGAGGGAAAGAAATATCAAGGCAATCACAGGGGAAATTAGACAGGCTTCTCTACTTGGCAATCATAACAGCTGGGCAAGTACACCAAAGAGCAGAACCTGAAAGAACAGAACTCTTTAAGCAAAAGGCAAGATAACTTTCTGAGGACAAGTACCTCAAATTGGATTATAGTGTTTTCGTTTACACTCAGATCCCTTGTTGTAATGGAATGTTCTCCAACTTCATTTGAAACAAATACCATAGCTGAATCTTCTTCCCTGTTAAAAACGGAAAGGAATACTTTAGACTCAGTTTATTACACAGTCACTTCTTTCTAATTTATTGCTGAGAGATGCTTACGGAGCTCCTTTAGATGAATATGGGCAATAAAGCCCAATGTTTCCACCAGGATAGAAAAACCAGTTGTCCTCTTTGGGACCAAAATCAAATGTATCCAAAAGGATCATGGGATTCTTCAGGTTATTTCCATCAATAATGAAGTCATCAATAATCCAGATTTCTTCTTTTTTGCCTTCAAAGAAAAGGGGAACATTCCTATTAAGACCTAATACTACTATTATTAGACAGCAGAACAGTAACTGGCATTTGTGGATTACATGGAGAAAAAGGTGGTAAAAGCATAGCTTCACTCTTTTCATTTTCTGTGAAAATGGAAGTGGAAGATGGAAAATTTTCATTTTCCATAAAAATAGTCCCCATACCGCTCTGCAGCATGACCCTACAGAATTAACTTTTATTCCTCTAAAATTTGTATGTCACAGCAAAATGAAGAGTGAAAAACCTCTGTTGAATTATTATCTTCTATTTAAATCACATTTACTTTGAAACCCTAGCATCAATGTCTTCTTTAATGAAGAATCATCTAAATGAGCAGTTGCTATAGAGCCCAAGCAGCCTGAAAGGATGATTTCATTCTACACCTTTTTCCTTGCACTCAGCAGCTTGTGTGTGCCTGGCAAGAGCTCTTCGAGACAGAAGGAAACTCTGAGTGACCTTCTCTCCAATGGATTATAAATTCAAATGTGTCAGAAAATTGGTGCTTTCAAACTGGAGAGGAAGGATTAGATTGCCAGATCTTTTGTGTAACTGTTTTTTTCATCTCTCTAAAAGCCTTTGTGTTGATCAGGGAAATTTAAAAAGTTTCTTTCAAATAAAATTCCTACTTAAGGATAACATCTGCAAGAAAAGTTTAGTTACATGTTTTAGGCAGGACCCATCACAAGAATGAACTGGAACTGGATTCTTAGGACTGGATTCGAATTTGCTTTTTTTGTTAGAGGTGCGCTAAGCATTTTCTTGCATGGAATAAATTGTTCCTGTATCACTGTGTCTAAATGATCACTGGAATTCTGTAGAGCCCTTAATGTCAGCTCCTGCTGAGAGATGTGCTCAGAGTAACTGAGAGCAGAGGAGGGCTCTCTTCAGCTGGCACATCTCCGGTAACCAGGAGGAATAAGCTGCGTTCCTCTTGTGGTTTTCTACAGTCCTTTACAATTTAATCAAAAGATTAACTGCTCACTACATACTCTTTCTAAATGGGTTTTTAATGCCTAGTTAATTCTGAGAAACGTAGGCCCAGTTCCCATTTACACTTGGGACACTTTTGTATAATTGGAGCATTATAATGGGGCCTCAGTGCAAATGAGAATCAGGTCCATTAAAAATAATGAGAAGAACCTGAGTGAAGTTAACTTTTTCAGTGTTGCTTGATCTCCCAGTTCCTCCAGGACCAAAGCTGATAGTCTTCTGCACACAGTCAAGAGGTATTAGGTTAAGGTACTTTCCCTTTAAATCATACAGCAGCTTAATAAGAACAGTAAACATAATCCTGTGATAATTTTAATTGAAGGAGTCCAAATATAAGAAAACATGACTTAAGAGTTTCTATTATTGTTGAGTTCAAAACTCTAGCCTCTTACAGAAGCTGAGCTGTGCAAGTGTGGACCTGGAGTCCCATGGGTGTCTCTTCCTTACCGTTGTTGTAAGGTTGCCAGAGCCTGAACCGCGTTGCGTTGCTTTGGGCTGCATAGGGCAGAGGAACGTTAATAAAGAGGACGTCTGTAGTCTGCGTGAAGTAAAACTCATCTATCAGGTGCCAAGTGATGCCACCGTTGACAGAATATTGCAGCAGGATGGAATGAGACCTCTCGGGCGTGCCTGGAGCAGACAGGACATGCATTTACATTCATTATAATCTGCTTTTAAAAAGCACTAGCTCAAAAACACTTCTTCAAGTGTAAATACAATTAGGTTACTCTGACATCTATTACAGAGTATGGGCTTCCTCTGACAACAACTTAAGCTGTTGAGACGTTATCCGTGTATTGTACATATACATTTTCCCCTTGCTTGTCCGTCTGAGAAATGCTAATGAGCAGAGGCTAAATTGACATTGCTCTCATTATATGTGTGGTCACAGTTAATTACTTAGATGAGAAGCTATCTCGGTGTTTCAGTTTTTTAGACTAGAACAAACCAGCTCCTTCTATCACAAACATTTTTCAGCAATTCAGTATTTATTTGCTTGTTTTTCACAGGTACCAGGCATTAACATCACCATCTGTAGCACCCACAGATAAAGACACAGTCCTTATCCTCACAAATTCATAGTCTATGGCTCCAACTGCAGACACCGATTTGAGCATATTCATGCTCAGAAATCATATAATTGATGGCAAGCGCTGAGGATCTTTATTAGCAAGTTTTAAAAACAACAACAAAAAAGAAGTACTTTATGCTTTAAGCTGGGCCTAAAAATCAGTGGTGGAACTGAGAGTAAAATTTGCATTTTCTGACTACCAGTTCCTCCTTTCTTTACTTAAAGGTTTAAAGAGTCAATAAAGGCTCTTTACAGCCCTAGCTATTAACAGACACTGGTTAGAGCCCAGCACTCACACTTGATGTTGGTTACGCTGCGCAAGCTCTGTCCCCAGTGCATGTTTGGCCCGTGCCTGACTTGCTGACCAGAAACATCAGCATCTGAGTGACGGTATCTCTGAGCTGAGTTTTCACTCAGACAACTTTAAGATTTCCACCCCCTTCATAGTGTGGTGCAGTGATGGCACATCCCCAAAAACTCAGTCTGAGGGCAGGAACTAGCAGCAGAAAAGGTCAGTTTCTTCATCCCTGCCTCACTGTGCATTACTGTGCAAGTTTCTCCCACGTTCTGTTCTTAAATTAACCAAATTTGCTGAAGCCAAAGCGTCTGATGTGCACGTTCCTGCTCCACTCTGCTCCGGCGCAAAGTCTCTCTTCAACCACCGCGTGTGGAACAGAGCAGGGAGAAGAGGGACATTTGCAGTCAGGAGCTGATTTCAGCTTATCTGTGGCAAAAAACAATAAACAACACGCTGCTCTTAACGCTTCCGGCTGAGAGCTGTGCCTAGCTGTAGTAATTTGCATTCAACGTTAGGGAGCTTGTTGGGACTAAGTCCTGGATTCAGGCCTAGGGCTAGCAAGCCCTATTGCTTTAATGAGTAAAGATTTCTCCCACAGTTTCACTGCTTTACCTCTTGTGGGTCAAGTGTCAAAATCCAGCCTTGAGCCTTTTGGCTATTCTGCCTTTCAGAATGATATTTTTACTCATAATATTTTTTAATATTTTGGCAAGGATCATATAGAGAAATATTTCCAAGGCACAGTTTTGTAAAAGAATTCTTCACAAAGATTCTGCTTTTAAACCTGAAATATTTGGTGTGTTATTGTTTTGGGGCATGTTCTGGTTTTGGCTGTTATTGTTTTCTCTCTTTTCCGTAAAGTACTTAAACAATAGTAGTAAATAGCTAAATATATATGATTAAATGCCTATTAAGGGGAGTCGAACTTAATTCAGAAAGAGCTACATTTTTACTTGCCTATACAGAGATTTGGCTAAAATAGTTATTTAGGAAGAAAGAGATGGTTCAAAACCATTTTCACGCTGTCCTTTGGCGAATGGGGAGTCAGTTAGGGTCCAGTCCCAGAGTGCTGAGCTTTCCGCAGAAGCTATGAACATCTTTCAGCTTCCCCCAAAAGGAGAGGAGTTTTTGCATGTTGAGAGTTCAGCCTGGACAGGCTGGTTCTACAAGCAATGCTGGGAAAAACTTCTGAAATTGCATGGGAGTGACTCAAACCCTCAACCAGGTTAGTGGTTCTCCACCGTGTAACTCCTGACTTGGATAAAATTATTTTGCAAAGCCAGAGATGACAGAGGCTTGGAGCAGGGTAAGATTGAATCATTGGCTTGAAGACACTTGTACTAGAGAAACCGTCTCAAGCTTGTTACACCAACATGTAAACTTGGATAGCAAAGTCTGACTATTTTTCATACACAATTAAATAGAATTATGGACTTTCAGTCATCTCTAAAATATTTACTAGGAAATCACGTGGTAAGAGCTTTTAATGCAGTGGACTGAAGCTTGAAAATGAAAAACCCTGTAGTTCCTTATCAGTCCTGTAAGTAATCTACTATAGGCACCATTTTATGACTTAAGAAACTGATAAATTCTTTTTTTTCCCCAACATACTGCAAAATCTCTAAAAAATCTTGAGCTATTTTGTCTCTCAACTGCTCAAAGACTGTACTAGCTGTACTGTTTTTGACACCATGACAGTTTACATTTTACTTAGGAACTGCACAGACGGCCATGTAGGCTGGTAGCAATGTAGGGATGATGCAGAATCTCAAACAAGTTCTATTATCTACCATAAACTGATCATCATGTACACTGAAGCTGAAAATGTAAATCCATATTCTTTTCTGTGATGTTACTATGTCTGCATAAAGCTAGAGAAATGATAGGAAATCAACAGTGATCTTACCTTTGGCAATAAATTTAAATGAAAACTGGATGTACACGGTATTAGTGCAGTCTAGATATCTTGAAACAAGCATTCTCAGTCCTTCCTGCAGATACAGAACATATAGTGTGAGTCTCAGTTTCCATTATTGAAGATGCTCTGCAGCTTACTATTGTCTGGATGTTGTCTGTTACTGACTGCTGGTGGCCATGAGAGAGGTAGTTCTCTGTCCCACACCTTCTCCCAGGCAGAAAATGGGGACAGTGATAGCCTTGGCAAAAGGAGCCACAGTAATGGAAAGGGCTGGTTATGAGTCTGTGTCACTATCAGAGGCACAGCTACATGATCAGGTACAGACACAGGTACGGCTCGTTCAGTTCATGCTCTGAACCATTGGGATGTGATCTGATCTGCAAAGCACTGACATTGAGTCCAAGCTAGTATACTCATTTTTTGGGCAAATCGTATAGTAGCCAGGAACCCCAATTTCCAGGCAGGACAATTCCTTTCTAGGAGCTCTTTTCTGTGCCACAAAAAGTATTTTGTACAAATATCCTTTTCTGGGGCAACCTCTTGACCTAGAGTAATAAGTAAAGGGAGCAGACAGGAAACTTCATAATGACCCCCAAGGCCCTGTCCATGTCTACAGGTGAGCTCAATGTTGTATGGATCCTGGGGTCAGAGCAGGTCCCCCTTCTGCAGAGATCTGTCAAACCACCCCTCAGAGCTTCCCTCTTTCTCAGACCCATTCCCCCAGGGGAACAACCTGCAGGAGCAACCAATCCGAGTTTTAGACAATTCACAACCTGTGATTTGTGATTTAAATGATCTAAAGAGGTTGAACTGGAGTCAAGGTTTTGCAAAGAAATATTTCTAAAGAATTCATTTCAGGGGCATCTGAAGACTCATGTGTGAGCTTAACATTTGTGTGCTTATGTGAACAAAAGTCTTTCTATTACGTGTTTTGTTGAAGAACTGAGAAGTTCAGAAAATATGCTATTTCCTGGCCTTTTTAAACCTGTAACTAAAAAAAAAAAAATCCTTAAAAAGCTAGAAAACTTCAAAACAACAGAATTAAGTAAAACACAGGCTAACTATGTAAACACTGATTACATAGACTACAGTGCTGACTGATTTGTATTATTCAAAATACTCAAAAGCCAATCAGGGTGTTTCGAGATGCAAACCCAATTGATTGTAATGTCTACCACATTTTCAAATCACTCAGCCTCAAGAATCTCAGCCGCAGAGTTTCATTCTTTTCCTTTGGTGGTTAAGGAGGAATTTATACAACAAATAAAAGTAACAGCCAACAAACAGATGAAAGCCATTTGTTCATAACAAACAACTGTGACAAACATGGTGCATATTTAGGGCAGGAAAAGATGAGAAAAATGAAAATGACAAATTCTAACCTAAAGATTTTGACATAAACATATGGGGGGAAACAACAAAAAATTTGCTTTCTGCTTTTAACTCTACTGGGTTTTATTCATTTTTTCAACGTAAGTAATCTCTGACCCCTTTAAAAATGAGAGCTGTTCCAGACTTGATGGTGTCACCATTCAGGTTTCCCCTCTCAGCACCGTAGACCTCAGGCCAAAGGTCTGGATGCAAGTTACCATTGAAATCATCCTTCAGGACAGACGGCAGAGGAATGACAGGGACACAGTACGGACCACCAAAGCCTCTGTCACACCTAGCAACAAATTGGGAGGAGAAGGTGTTATCCATCTGGCCTAGATATAACACAACGTCCTTTTGATGAAGCAGATTAAGCAGGTTGCTACTTACACACAATGACCTGCATCACAGATGCCGTGGCCTGAGCACATCCAGGGGCACCCTGTAGCCAGGACCACATTATCAATAGCCCAAGAATCAACACCAGAAGCATAGTTGTACTGAATCCATCTGAATCGTGTTCTGGGAGAGCTAGAAAAAACAGAGTGAATGTATTCAGGCTTCAAAATGTCTGCTCCACAAAGAGCTGAATAATAAAGAAAATCCCATAGAATTCAGGAGAAGAAAAGCATATTAATAGCATGACTCCCTGTATTTGGAAAAGATTCATATTCCAGCTGAAACTGGAAGTTTCACTTTCTCAGGTTAGATTTAAGCAAAATTCCAGAAGACTCTAAAGGAAGTTGCCCAAAGTGAAAACCAGGAAAGAACATTGCTGTGACTCTTGCTGATCAGCAAAGTGGTTGAGCAGAAACTATCAGCTACATTAGGATTCGACAGCTCCATGTGCTGCTAGCAGAGTTAAAACAATATAATTGCTTCAGTAAAGTAAGAAGTAATAATTATTTCTATTGAGTCTTGTGTAAGGAAAAAACGATGACTACATATGTTCATGTATATATATTTGTATAACAATGTATGAATATGTATGTACAAACATGTACATGCATACACACTGCTGTAATTGCTGACTGCCTTGTTATCCTCAGATGAAGAAAGTATTTTGGAAAAAAAATTATCAAAATGTTATGGGTTAGATCATCTTGCATTTGTTCAGGCAGGAAATTCTCTTCCAATGCACAGAGAATTGCCTTCAGACTTTGACAAGATCAGGATATCATTATAGTTGTGAAGAATATTCTTTGGAAGAAGACGTGGGAGAAGATGTTCCGTCCTCTGGAGCTAACTATGGAATTAGAAACCAAGATGTGAACCCCAATCACAGTTCATTTACTGTGTGTTCATTTTTACCATCGTATTTTCTGGGTGGTGAAATTTGCAGAGGTAATGTGTAGGGTGCTTTGAAGAATTACAGAACTATCCAGAATGATGGTGAGCAATATCATCGTCATCTAAACTAGAGCATGGTTTTATTCAGAGAGATGGATGCCAGCATCTCTGCCACATCCATTTATAACTGTGTGATATCACTAGGAGGCAGGCAGAACTCTCCTCCTGGTCAAAAGGGTGGAGGTGGCACGTCCAATAACGTGTTTTGACTTGCTAAATGCCATGACTAACACACCTAAATGTTGGATGACAACTTATATGCAATGTGCTTCTTATTGGATAAATATTAGAAAATCTTGGTTTAGCATTCTTGTTCCTGCTGTCATAGAATATAGGCAAGACTTAAAAATTCACTCATCCCAAGCTGTTACTTCCTTAAGTTCCTGCAGTTCACATTATATCTCATGAAGTATTTTAAAGTGAAATTTAAAATTCTGATGGCGTGACAACACACATTTAATAATTTAAAAGACATGCAGAAAATTCCCAAGCTGGGTGATGTTTGCTCCAATTAGAGCAGCAAAATCTATATCATGCTAAACAGCCAGAAGAGCAGCGATTACTTGGTTGAGGGTGGGAGGTAGACTGTAATTCTCTTCCAGTTTTGGAATCTTTCTGAGGTGTAGATGGAGCTCTCGGTGTAGTGCTGACAGCCGATGGTTGGAGGGACGCACTCCTCTGTCACCAGGTGCCAGTCTCTCCCGTTGTTTAAAGAATACTGCAGGTGAATGCTGTGGGAATTGCTGTATGGCTTGCTGCAACCCATGCTCAGCTCAAACTGCAAGAAAGTGGATGCTGATACATGGAAGTCCCAAGTCTCGGCATAACGAGGTTTTCCTAAGAAAAGAGAGAAAAACAACCAAAAAAGATACATGTTTATGCATATGCTTTCAGTACTGCCATACAAATTTGTTACCTGTATTTCCACCTTTTTTCATCCTTCTCTTCCCTGCAGATTACTATATACCTGAATTTGTTTATACCTCCCATCTCATAAAAACTTGACCCATAAATAACTTGTAAAATAGACTCATAAAAAAGTAGCAATGTTTGTTGACACATACCAATGTTTTCACTGAACATCAGAGCTGTATCCATAGACAGGCAGTCGATGTCTACTTGACCTCCTTGTATTCTGTACCAGCTTGCTTGTAAATCCACAGTTCCATCAAATTTATCCTGGAAGCCAGTCTGAGAGCTGTCATTCATCCCTATAAGTACATCATCCAAAGCCCACTGAGCTGAATGCTTCCCTATAAAAAGCAGAACAGGCAGGTTAGTGAAGTCCCTGTAAGTTATTTTTTATGCCCGTATCCTGCCTTCACCCAGTGAGTAGTACTCAGTCACGTAGACTGAGCACTGTTAAACAAGACTAAAACACCGCTCAAGGATGAACCTAGACTCTAGAGCATGTTTCTATTTCGGATAAACACGGATACTTTCCTCTTCATTTCTCAAGCTTCAGTGCCTTCATCATTATATGCTCTCCCTGTGTTTGAATGAGACACTCCCTGAGCCCATAGATTGGGGATTTTCATTTTATGGGTCACAACCTTCCTGCCATTTCTCACAGCTAAATCAGAAAGGTCTTTTTCTAGTTCCCAAAGTACCTTTTGTATGGAAGATGATAGTACACAAGGGACAATGCTGAAGGCTCTTGATATAGATGATATTCATAGAACTGCTCTTCACCTTCTCCTTCCTGGAAACCTGTCTTCTCTTGCTCTCCAGCCTACAGGCATCTCAGTTCACCATCATCTCCAGCCCATTTCTCCAGCCCTTCATTTCAATTCACCTTTCTACTGGCATGTTGAAAATGCCATCTTACTGTACAATCACTGCCCTCACAGGAGAAGGAAAGTCTTGACAATAAATTATGAGCTTGCAGCGATGTGCCATGACTTTTGTCCTGCCACTATGAGGAATGTGGGTCACGGCTGATAGGGCCAGTCTGGACTTAGTTATGGCAGACAGAGGACAGTCTACAAAGGAGCTAATATCTGGAACGAGGAATTGTTGTTACATACGGGTGGTGGTATGGGAGGTGGTATTTCATCAGGTGATCTTAGAGTGAGTACTCTCAGCAGGGACAGATGTCATCCAGGTGCCCCCAGAGCAAGAGGCCATTGGCAGGACACAGGTAGGGAGCAACAGGTCTGACATCGCACCACTCACCAGTGCAAACGATTGTGGCAGAACGATGGTCTGTGATACACCAGTTGCTGCTCAGCATTCTTTCCAAGTGAACTGGCTTCTTAACTAAATTGCATCCCTCTTGCCTTGTCTACTCTCTTGCCTAGTGAGGACAATTAACTCCAGGACATACATTGTAAGAAAATGTATGAATAAAAACCAGCCATCGAAGTGATAAATGATATCCAAGAAGCTGCATACCATAATTACCTGAATGTAAGCTGTATGCTTTTCTCTCCAGGGAATTGCTGTTAAAATGTACTTTGCTATATTTCTGAATACCACTTTATATTTCCTGCAGGGATCCAGGATCTGCTGCCTTGCACAAAGGTGAGACACTTAATCAGAACACGTTTAATCATGGTGATGAGCCCCCACGCAAGGTGGGAGCTCTCACAGTGGCTGTAGGTATTCGTCAGCACCAGGGTCTTACTTTCAGCTGAGGATGTGGGAAGTGGCTGAGTGGGCTTTGGAGGTGCAGCAGAAAAGAGTGGGACGTTGGGACACCAGAAATGGCAGGGGATGGGGGTCCTGTTTTGGAGTGTGGAGATATTAAAATATGAGACGGGAGCCACCAGGTAGGCAGATTCAAGGTCGAGTTATGCCTTCTCTTCCAAAACAGAGAAAAAATGAGATAAAATGTGTAAGCCATTTTGCATCCCAGGTCACTCTATATTCAGGTAGATCCTCTAATCTTATTTAGGCTTTTCTGTGTAATATTCTTTTCCCCTCCACTCTGTTACCTCTCAGCATCTTTGGCTTAAACTTAGCTCTTAAACAATTTTACCCTTAAGTCTACTGTTCCACTTGGTGTTCTAAAAGAAAACCATGTCTGCAGTGTGACTGAGGAAAGCCTAAAAATGCTCTTACAGCACCCAGCGGTTCACCATACTGTATTTTTGGTAAGCTGAGGTTTCTGCAGAACATGTCCATACTGAGAAGCATTGACATGTGGGTAAACCCATGTCAACCCCACGTAAACCCCAAAATTAATTGATTTTTAGGATGGCGTTGCTTACCATGTTGTGGCTGCCACCAGCGGAAAGCGGTGGCGGGGGTTTTGGCCTCCCGAGGTAAGTCTATGGAAACAACCTGGGGTTCCAGGTATGACATGAAGTCCAGCTCTCGCAGCAAATGCCAGGTGATCCCGTTGTCATTTGTGTATTGAACAACAAGCCCTATATTTAAAATTAAGACAGGCAGTTAGTCTGACTGTACAGAGCAAAGAGGAGCAATTCTTCAGCCTGTACTCAGGAGTTGCCAACCCCCATCCAGTGCACGTGACTTTTGGCATCTCCCCTGGCCTTTTGGCATTTCCTGGTCCAGGAGCATTTTGTGGACAAAGTCCTACTGCAATGGTGACGTGGGGTCACCAGCTGCCACACGTTACCTTGCTTGTCTTGACCAAACGCAAAGGATCACATCTTTTACAACCTCAGTGAAACTAATGATTGTACCACAGAAACGATAGCAATAACGTGACTTTCTTCATATAGTCAGTATTTATTTCATGTTGTGTGTCCTTGCAGTTTGTGTGGGACACTAAGTTGTAATTCTGACAGCTGTGCTCCCAATATGGGTAGTTCACAATGCTCATGTTCCCTGTGCAAGCTCACAGCATCCTTAAAAATTAATTACTATAATATTTAGATAATTTAAGATCATCTTCATATCTACCACACAGTATGGCAAATACTAGGACATAGGAGAATTGTGAAGTCACTTATGAGCTCACCAAAGGAGAAATACAAGAAAGAAGCACTTATGTATACTTCTTCTCTTAAAACTCTTTTATACTGGAGTATGTTCAAAGATAATTGTTTTTCTTCTGTCTTATACTGGGGCAAATGAGCAGAGAATCAAACGCCCTGTGTAATCTGTGCTGAAAGATGACAGTTATGAGCCAGTGTCAACATAAATGCCGTATGTCAGGAACTAGTCCACTGACGTTTAATGATTTATACTGAGAGGAAAAGGGAGTTTTCTCACCTACCAGATGTCAGTGGTCTGTCTTCATGCAACTAGACCGCTTTACGTGGGGAATCTGCTCCCAAAAATCTGCTGATCCTCCCCAAACACAAATATCAGCCCCCCTGCCCCAATAACTCTAAGCACGTGGGTAAAAATAAGAGGACACAGCTGGTAAAGATTAATTTCTTTAGACTAAATATATTTTCAGCTGCAGCTTTATAATTTTGTATTTTATGTAAATCATGCATGAGCTTGGGTTCGGAGGCAATCTTTTATTAGACACATTGGTGTAGTTGAGAAGCTGAACAAGTTTTCAGCCACACAACTCTTCTTCTGGTCAGAAATTGAGGTTGCCCACTTTATCCCAAACATGAATTTTATTCCTTTTATTTCAGACCTGAAGAAAGTCCTGTGTACTTGTAAATTTACCTGTTTTCCAACGCTATCAAGTAGTCTAATAAAAGCTATTACACCTCATCTTGCAAATGTTGTCTTTCTTAAAATATCACAGCTCCAACAGTTACTCCTACTGATAGATCACCATTAGGTTTGATGGAAATAAGTATAAAGACAAATGTGGAACAAAAGTAAATAGTTTTCTGCACCATTTATGAAAACTGAAGAGGTAATTGATTTATGTGAAAAATAGAACAATTTTTTTGATTTTGTAAAAAGGCAGTAAAAAGCAAAAACACTGTAGAAAACCCAAAATACAAAAAGCTTATTATAAAAAAGGGGTTTTACCTTCATTCCTGGCTCTTGGTCGGTTGCAGGAGTTACCAACAGCCTTGCTTCCAATTTGTACATAAAATTGAACTAGCCTGTTAAAAAAATCAGGGTAGAACAAAGGTGTGATTATCTTCTGATAGCACAAGACGAGTCAGGATAACTCTCTCCTCTTAACTAATGTAGCATTTTCAGTTATTCCAGGCTTATTGATCAGGTAATGTTCCCAGTGAAATCAAGCATGGCCATAGTAAACAGTGGAGGACCCAAGACAGAAGAAGATGATGTGGTTTACTGATCCTGTTCCTAATAAATGTGGTGTTAGACTGAGTAGCAAAATTTAGCAGTTCCTTCTGTAACTCAAAGATGCAAAATCTCCAAAGCAGACAAATCTGTTCCTTACATCAGATCTTACCTTGACCTCATGTAACTGGAAATTGATTTAAGCTTTAAAATACAATATTAGAGATTTAGTAAAATAACTCTTACCTCACTAAACCACCAATCCCTTTTTGGTCCTTAGATTCTTCATGTAAACAATTTTCAGTCAAAAGTGTTCATGGGACACTTTGTGAAGTAGACCTTTTGATTTTCAACCTATACATTCTGATTTCATTGTATATTCTCTTGTTCTCACGTCATGAGACAGATTAAAAAATGTTCCTGATCTGCCCCTTTTGCAACCTTCCCTGTAGTCAGTGCTTTTATCGCTTCCCTACCTTCTCTTATTCCTTTTTACTGTAAACCATGGCAACCTTTTCATCTGTCTCTCTGCATGAAAGTTTTTCCACAGCCTCGATTTTTCCCATAATCATTTTCTGCAACCCTTCTAAAGCTGCAGCACTGCTTTGAGACAGTGTCACTGGTTTTATTGACAGAACTTTGGATTAGCGTGGAACATCCCTATTTAGCTATATTTGAATTAATAATTATTGCATCCTTGTGCTCCAAAATATTGTTAATTTTTTTTCCCAATCTGCAGTGATGCACTGGTGATCCTTGCTGTGCTGATATTTTTAATCATGGCTCTGTGGTGTCAGAGTAGTTTACATTCCCTCTTAGATGCGCACTATCGTGCCATATAACAGCCACTCACTTCAATTAACATCCTGCTGCTCACTCACAAAATTTCATTGCATGTCTCCAACATCTGAGTCTTACCTGGTCATAACCAGTGTAAAGATCATTGAGATGACTGAGAATGCCATCACCCCCTCATCCACACCCTCTTCACAGATTGTCTGCATTGCCCACCCAAAACAGCACCTGAACAGAGCAGGGAACCTGGACTTGTCCTCACGGTGAGATTTTACATGCTGAAAGTTGGTGATGCCATTCTCCTCCTTGTTTCCTAGCCAGTTTTTGACTTAGGATGACGCTTGCCTGTTGTGTTATGACTATTGGAGTACTCGCTGATCTGATGCTTTTGTGAGGCAACCGCTTGTCCCTTGTGCTGAGGGTGTCCTCATGGAGCACATTAGGGTGATGTGGGGTTATTTCCAAACAGGAGTTTTGGCAGAAAAAAGAACACAAATCTAAAGGAAACCAAACTTCATTAATTCTACTGCTTGTAGGTAACTTCTTTAATTTAAATACTAATTTTAAGGTGAATTTGTGTCTCTGTGTGAACAATTATTTGTCACATAAATAATTCCCCACAAGGATAACTCTTTTCACCTTAGGTCCTAATTTATAGTGACATCGGTAAAATCACAGGACTACAGTTGGAGCCAGTACAATGCAGATAGGACTCCGACTTCGCTCACCCACTGCTACATATACATCACGATCCTCTTCTGATTCTAAACCCAACCACACCCCAGTTCTGTTATAAGTATCACTCATAATATAAACCCATCGATAGCTGAAGAACAGACAGGCTCACAGTATTACACCATTTAGCCAGGTAGGCCCTATTGTTTGCTGCAGATTGTTGTTGTTTACTGTTGTCTGAGACAATATTCAGGCAACAAAACACTAGACAGTGGTCTCAGAGGTGGAAAGATTTCCATTCCTATGATGAAATTCTCTTTTATGCTTGCCAAATGTAAAGATTGGTAAAAAGCAAAAACAAAAGACAAAAAACCCCTTTCTGCAGAGGGGTGAATCAGCCCATCTGATCTGTAAGCATTTGACCCAGAACAGCTCTCTGGGATGGTTGCACAGTCATTAGCAATGGAGTTTGTAACACAGACAGGAGCCAAGTCAGCTAACAAGCCAGATGTCAGTGCTTGGAAAAAAAATACATATATTCCATGGTTTTTATCTAGCTGCCAGGTAGGCACTGTGTGCAAATGCTCTCACTGAACAGACAGTGAAGGGTGTCATAAGGGACAGGCCATCACAATGGGAGGCAGTAGCTCATCGGTAACCAAAATGCACCCAGGTATCCTATTGTCAGTCAGGAGGGTGGAAATACTGCTGGTGAGATTGTGCCTTTGGCAAATTGGGCCATGCAAAAGGCAAGGGACGGAGAGACTCCAGAGGGTTTCTGAAGTGTAGGGCAAAAATGGTCTGGGTGAAATGAATTTTGACACTTACAGCTCTCTTAGTCCTATGGGACATTCTCCTAATGTCTGTGAAAAAAGTGTAGTCAATCATATAAAGGAATAAGGAGACAATAGGATGAACAAAGCTAAGATTATGATAGCACTTAATGTCTACGCTAAACATCGAGTGCTTGTTTACGATCATTGGCTTCAGGGGCCAGGCTTTACTTTTAAATGCTCTTAGCGTGGCACCTGCGTTTGGTGGTAGCCTGTTGGGCTGCTTCCCTGAGCAGCACCACACACCTCGGGCTGGCAAATCTCAACCCCTTTGGAGCAGAGCGAACTCTGCGAACAGAAGGGTGAAGGGGGAAAGGGTTTTTGTACTTCTTACAAAAAAGAACAAAAATTCTTTACATCCCTTACATAAAATTTATACTTTACATTCAAAAAGCTGCAACTGAAGCAAGATGATAGGGAATATGCATAGGTAGATCTGCAGGAATTCAGAATGAAAATAAAACTTTCATGTCTTGTAATACTTTCCAATTTTTTGCTCTTCCATGCCTGATGTAATGAAACAAGATCTTAAAAGGACTGGGAAAACACTATTAACCTGAAAAATAAGAAGCCTAAAAATCTACTGCAGCAGTTTCAGCCTTCCTATTCACAACCCTCAATCCACATATCTAACAGTACGTCTTTCAAGGCATATTTTCCTGTTTACTCAGTCACCAAAATCCCCAACCAAAAAACCCAGGAACAAATAAAAGATAACTGTGCAGGGACTAAGATGACCCCTAATAAGATAACCAAATTCTATGCAAAGCATTACTGAAGGCAAAAAGTAATACCAAAAGGGCAAAAAGTGCTTCCCTCTAATCTCTTCTTTCAAGTAACATTAATTTTAGCTCCAATAATGAAAAAAATTTCTAGGCTGAAGAATTAGTTTCTTTTTAGGGTATGGGTCTTTCGGTTAACCCTTCACACTCTCACAAATTTAGTCCGTCTTTGCTTCTAGGAAAAAAGACCCAGTTAATGTTACAGATGGTCTCAAACATTAAAGTGGGATGCACCTGTTCTAAGCAAGGTGTCTAAAACCATGTCTAAGACTTATATGATCAACTCAGATTCCCTTATAATTAATGACAAAAATATATGCTTCCAGAAGACAAAGCACTGACCTTAGCTAACCTTATTTTCGGATGACTTGCATTGCCCTTTTGAAGTAGCTATTTCTTTCCTTTGAGCCTAAAAGAAGCCTGGGGTAATTGCTGTAGGCTAAGGAGTCCATGTTCTGGTCAAGCTGCATGAGTCCATGTGTGGCTGAAGAAACTGAAAAATTGATACTAGTTCCATTTGTGTTTGAGATGACTGGTGCTTCTATTTAGCAAACAGCCCAAGCGTGTAGCATCAAACTTGACTTAAGGAAGTTAAGCTTCTCACTGTGATGCTTATAAAACAAATTTGATGCTGGTTCATTTTGGCAAAATGATCAGCCACAGCAGGAGAGCAGCTCACATGGTGAGCAAGTGCTTGGAAGAGGGATCTTAGTTGCTCTTATCAGGTGTCCCTCTGGCAATTTATATTCTTGGGGCAGTTTTGAGACATCAGGTGACCATGTTTTCATGCAAAATGAAAATAGTGATGGATTAAAAAGTCAAGAAAGAGCATTTCTCAGTATTTTAAAACTTTTTTTTGCTTTTTAAATGGTTCAAACTCTATAAAATTGGAAAGCTATAAATACGAATATCTGGCATTAAAAGTGGTTTCAAAGTAATCTTAAAGCTAAAGAAAATCCTTTTCTTTTATAAAAACACTTCTCCAGGAAAGAAGGAAAAACTCACGAAAACCATTTGAACATATTCTTCTTGATGGTGTGGTTACTTCCAATATTATGCTTCACAGGATTAGTAACAGGAGATTTAAAGAGACGGTGGAACAGAAAAGAAGTGCTCCGACCTTCTCAGAGTTCCAGTGCAAATATGTACTTGTTCAAAGCGTATTTGTCAAACAATTAATTAATTTAATTATTAAGTAATTTACATAATTATATAAATAATTCACATATTTGTCAGACACGCAGGGGACAGAGGAAAGGCAGGTGGTGCTGTGCTGCTAAGCGGCTAAGGCTCTCCCCAAACCCGCTGCTCCCATGCTGCCCTAAAGGAGTACCACTTGTCTGAGCTGGAGGGTGGTAGCAGTAATTTGTGGCCAATCTTCGCTGAATGATCCCACAAATTAAATAATGCAGCAAATTACGGCATTAATTACTCTTGGAGCAGTATTTGCCAGGAGAAATATCATAATTGTAGGGTGGGCAAGGTTTGAGGTGCATGATCCCTCCTGAGACTGGACAAAGCAGCGGCAAACTCCAGGCTAAAGAATGGTTAGAATTAGCAGCCCTTTGTTTATCCTAATTACATTAATCAAGTAGACAATTTGAGAGAAAAAGGCTAATTGCTACCAGTGGAGCAGGATTCAGTGGTAGCAGGGAGAGAGATGAAGGCTTGTTAGCCTCTTGACTACACAGAAACAATTGACATTCTGCTTTTTGCACTTCTGACAAGTGGACTAATTCACAACATCTGGCAAGTAAACAACAGCTCAGTGCTACACCATCGGCGTGCCTGCAATTCGACACAGTCAGTGGGAAGGGAGTTTTTCTGTCCAGCTATAGGGAGAGTCTTCGGTTTTGTGCAGTCTCAAGACCACATCTTCTGCCCGTCTATCTAGAATACAATGCAAACTATCTTCTCAGAAGGATAAACAGTTCATATTTTCTATGCTGCTATTCCACTCCATTTCTAACCTAAGTTTTCCCTATTAAGAAAAGGAAACAGTACACCAGAATGAGCAAAAAAGTAATTTCTCTGCCTTTAAGAGTTCTTATACAAGCTGCGATTACCAGAAAAACATTTCACGCTTTCTCAGGAGATAACGTGAATACACCAACAACTGTGAGAAGCAGCACTGAGGATTGACCTGATATTTGTGGTGTCCAGGGGAACAGTCCTCGCCTCCCTTTTGCCAGGTCCATTGAAGTACAGAGATTTTCCGTCGCTGAGCACGCCACAGCCTGTCCCAACCTGACCTCCTGTTATCTTGTACCAGAGAGGGCTTAGCTTCCTTTCAAACCTGTCGAACATCTCACTGTGATTAGGCACATTAGACACACAGGTTCCATGTGATGCTTCAAGAAAAAAGAACAAAACGGAGAAATGCTTTGGTGAGGCTGTGCTGAACAGAGTAAAGGTCAGATACAGTACATTGGCAGACGGTTCTGTTGCATCCACTTGTGAGAAAGTACTGGTCTTTGCTAATGCCCTGATGACAGGATTGTACCTTTTTAAACCCTCTTTACAAATTTTCATAGGCAGAATAAGCCCTCTTCCTGTAAACTCTGAGACGGCCTAATTCACTAGGTGAAAAATGGCAGTGCTTTATGTTGATAAGCATACAACATGTTAAGTGATAAGTTGATATCTATTTAGATAAATCTAAACAGAAAAATGTTATCCTTTTATTTAATTTTAAACAAATCAAACAAGTCTGCTTATTGCTTTGTTGGTACAGAGCATTGAAGAAAGCGCAGTGTGAAACTGGTTGTGTCAACCACTGTTTTTTTCAATGGGTTTGGGGTTTTTTTTTGTGTTTCAGCATAACAGCCCCTGAAACCACAAGTGAGCAGAATTTTCCACAGAAGGGCCTGTCAGAACATATGTTCCCTCCTGGTCCCATGCCATCTGATGGCCAAGGGACTCAAAACCAGCAGCAATTCTTTTGAAGATGATCCAAAGGCTTTTAAGCAGACTTTTTCGTTTATAATGTTTTATTTTGTTTTCTCTTCAATGGCTAGTCCCTTCCCCTTTCATACAGACGGTGATATTCAAAGATTGTGGTTGCCAGAAACATCACCGGTGTCCACTGCCTTTGGCTGCTCTGTTTTGCCTGTGCTGAATTTTATTTAACAAAATGAAAACATTCTTGCTGGCAGCCCATGAAATTTATGTCACCATATATTTTTCTGGAATATCACAGAGGAAAAAACAAGATGCTAGGTCTACAGCTTTAATTCAGCCAGTGCTTACTGTAATCCCACCTGAAAAGTGTTGTCTTACCTGTGTAGCCCAGGTCACAGAAGCAGACCCCCGAGACGCAGTCGCCATGGCCGTTGCAGTAGCTGGGGCAAGGCTCAGAAATGTAAACGCCGTCTAAGCCAAAAGGAGGCACACTCTTGTGGGAGCTGCTCTCCTGGATCCAGCGGAATCGAGTCTTACTGTAGAGAAACGATGACGAAGGGCACAGCATTACTATTCCCAGCTTCAATATCTATTGCTCCTTGTTTAAGATTAAAAGGACCTTTTCCTAAATTAGCCATTTGCAAATAAGATGCCTGGAAAATGTTTCTGACATCCCACATTTTGTGAAACTTCACTTACAGGGTTTTTTTCCACATATTTTGGATGTATTTTCTCTATTTCTCTGGCCCGTATCCACCACTGTGATGCCAATAACAGACACATGGTTTTATTAACAAGGGTGACTTAATTGCACGTGACTCTGAAGATGCCTTTCACTATTCAGTTCAACCCAAACTGATAATTACATTTTAAAATCCCAGAACTCCATTTCTTATGGTACTTATGAAAAGAATTCAGTAATGGCAGTGATGCAGAGTTTATTACAGGATCATATAATTTTGAGTGAAAAAACTTCAGGTAATTTGGATACAGGAAAAATCATCCATTTCATAAAAATAATGGCAAGTAACGTGTCCTAAAGGACATGTGGACAGAAATACAAATTTTTTATTCTTGGATGATAACGTGAAATTCCTGGAAAATAGTGATGAATCCTTAGTTTGTATAATTGAAACTGCTCCAGGGACTTTGGTGAGCCTACACTAAGTTACTGCAGCTGACCCACTGCATAGGAAACTTGTTGAAGAAAAAATACTTTAGTTTTTATTTTTCAGTCTTTAACTTTTAGCTGAATCATTTTATAGGAGTTCCAGAGAGGGGAACAGATTTAAAATCTCATTGCCAATTCAGTGGATTAATGAAGAACCTCCTTGTAATAAAACTGTTGCTTTTTTTCTGTTACGCACTGGGATTTGGTAAGTAGGTGATCATGGGGCTAGTGCTTGGTACAAACTGATGAAACAGGATGCTCTCTGGATAACCCATGAACCCTGATTTCCAAAGCAACCCACAATGCTAAGACCCTCATCGTACTCACAATACTTACATTTTTAATGTATTAGCATGAGCTGCTTATTCCCCATCACATTACTGAACATAATGCCAAACAGATTGCTGCTATTGATTCTGCACTGCTTGTTTTGGGTAAATCGAATCAGCTGGTGTCAGATCTGTGCAATTTGGCACCTGCTTTTATTGGCCAATTACTGAAGAAAAAGACAAACTTGTTATGGTACGCTCCGCTGTTTCAGCTCCTTGTGGCAAAGGCACCGGCTCCCCTGCTACGCAATGTGCCACATACTCAAAATCTGTGCCAGGACTGGAGGGTGAGTAGCCTGTGGCAGGAGGATGGAGCCGAAACCCCAGGGCAGCACTGGAGCTGCTGCCTTGGGGGAGAGCGGCAGGAGGCTGCGGGGGCACGGCCAGCGCTCGGGGCGCGGGCAGTAAATCAGACTGAGGCGGTTTACTGAGGGGGTGAGAGAGCGAGCAAGGGGAGCGAGACACTTCAGCCACATTCAGGTAAGACGGAGAAAAGCCTCTTGATTTCAAGTCTTTCTTGTGTCTTCCACCATCTGATGCTTTCTCATCTGAACCACCTCGATGCTGAGGTCGTGCCCACAGATGCGTGCACCTATCCTTCCTCCCTCCTCAGACGTCAGCTGTCCCCGTCGCCTTCAACGACGTGGCACATTATGCAGCAGCTCAAATACCCTTCTAGGGTTTCTTTGCCCAAGGATAACTGTAAAATTAATCCTGTTCAAATGGCTTATTTGGCTTAAGTGACTTACCACTCTTGCTGGCGCCTCTGACCTAACTGATATGCATACAGACAGACAGCACCATGATGAAGATACTGATGTCAACTTAAAATGTCCTGGGTTCCTTGTTGCTTGGTAATTTAATTTTATAGACCGTTCTGACACCTTTAAAATGGAAAGCTTCTCGCTGTTTTTGAAAGCACAGTATATTTTCCCCAGATCTGCTGATTTTTAACACTGCTTTTATTCACATCTTGCAACTTTTTCCTAATGTAACATCAAAGAAGAGGCAGCTAATTTACTGGTACCACTGGCATCACTGGCTTACAGTGTACAGTACCTGGCTGCAAGTGACCTGGGGATAACAATTGTAATTCTTGTCCAGTCCTCAAAGTCTCCCGTGTGATACACGGTCGGCTCACTCAGCTCCCGGGAGCTTCCCTCGCATCCTTTCGTGCCCGGAGATGCGGGGTAGCAGCCCTCCTTCACGAGCGACCAGAAGAGCCCAGCGTCGTGCGAGTACTGAAGCAGAACGGGAGCAGAGCTGCTGTACTGGTTGGTGCAACCAATGTTTAGCTGCAGAAAGAGCAGAGCATGAGATGCGAGCTGAAGAAACCTGCGCTGTTATTGGTATTTGTTGGCTGCAAACCACCTTTGACTTTTTAGTTTGGGAGGCTTAGCGCTCTGAGGTCTTGCTTTGAACCCTGCTGGCAAACAGTGACTGATGCTTGCAGCCTGTTTCCTACACGTCTGACATTTCTCAGTAAAAATTCCCATTGCCCCTTCGTTAAGGTGGCTGGGTTCAACAGGCTGAAAAGTGCAAAGAGCTTTTCAAAGGTCCTGGTGCATAAGAGGCCACAAACAGCAAACTGAGCCCAGGCACTTCCATGCCCAGGAGGAGTGGGAAGAGCTGTATCCTCCAAGACCCATCCCATCGGCCGTCCACCCAGCGTGCCCAGGGGATCAGCCTGACTCCAGGTCCCCTTTGCCCGGGGCTGCGAGTCCCAGGCACAGCCTAGTCATTGACCTTGCAGGACTGATGTCTGGGAGTTGGTGCTGCGGTTTGGCCTCCCAGAATAGAGCAAAATTGGATGAAGTAGAAAAATGTATATTAAAACGTGAAATGAGAATGTAACCAAGACAAAAATCAAATGCTGATTTGAAGTTTTCAGCATCTTTTCAAACTAACAGAGAAATACTAGTTTTGATTATTTTATTGCAGAAATTCTACTTGAGCTGTAGAACGTAAAATGTAAAACAAAATCATTCATGTAAAATAAAATAATTTTGACAAATTACTGTCTTTGAGTGTATTAATGCAAAATTATTCCTGGCAGCTATTTAAAATAGAAATTTCACAAACTCAGGAAAGCATTTAACTACATGCTTAAAATTAAAGCATGCAACCAGGACTAACACATTTATGTACAGGCCAGTTTAAAAGCTTTCCAAAAAAGAGAGGAGTATAAATTCAGGCCTTAAATGATAGACTTTATAAAGAAGAACTCACTGTTCTCTAATACATGTTGTTTATGATTTTTAAATTTATGTTACATTGCCAAGGGTTTCAGAGATGGAAGGCATAGGACATATTTTTAAGTATTGCTTTTTTAGACTAAACCATTTTTCAATTGCTGTTGATCATCAAACCTACAGAAAGGAGACTTAGTCACTGAAGTAAAGTGGTCAAGAGGCAAATAGCATCTTTTCCAGGCTAAATGGTATTTATATGTTGAAGTATTTTTGGTTCTTAGACAGTTTAAGGTATAAAACTACAAGCAATACTCACTCAGAAATTGTACTGCAATCCCTCAGCTTGTATAGCATTTCATTAGCATAACTTTTAGACGAAATGAGATTATTTTACAGATACCATTATTTCTAACTAACTTTCCCATTTATAGAACTGTGGGAATTATATTTGAAAAGCTGCCTGTAAACATCTGATCTCTTTAATAATTCCACTTGTAAATTATTCAGTGTCTGTATCCACCAATTATGTAAGGACCATGTATTTGTGGTGAGCTCATTAAAATTGCATTGCAACCAACCTCCAGAATTCACCAATGGGATTTCATTATAAACTCAATAAAATTTTGATTAGGGTTCAGAAACAAGAGCTTGTCAAAGCAAATACACTTTCTTTGGAGCCCATATTCTGAGGTATTGTCAGGCCACTGAAATTTCTGTAAGCCCTTTAAAGAAGGGAATGCTAATTGGAGCTGATATTCATTGACACAATAAAAGGAAATTATATGAAAAACCCACACTGGAGTACAGAGCAGCTTGTAAGTCCTTAAATAGTTGTAAATACAAAAAATGTACACAAACCACATTGGAGCTCTTGTAGTCACAGAGCCCCAGACGGGATAAATCCTTTTTCCCTTGACAGTGTAGTAGCATTTCCTAGTACTGACTTGAGTCACTTCAACCCACTTCTGAAACGTGTTGAAGAACAACAAGCTTTAAACCTTCTCCAGAGGGGTAAAAAAGCTCTCCTGCACCAAGGTTTTGGCTATGCTTTTAGAAAGCAGTGTGATATTTTACGCTGTATGAATTCATACTTGTGCTCTTTACATCTTTTCATGCAGTGGTATATTTTATCACCTTATTTTGAACTGTGGCCCAGTCACATCTAAGCAAGTATTGACTAAGGGGAGTTTTACTGATATCCTGCAGGGATTTATGTTTAAGGAATACCTTGAACTGCAGGACGTATCCAGGCTTCAGAGTTAAATCTCGAGTCACTGCAAACCGGTCCCCATCTGATTTACCAAAGAGCATAGCGGAGGGGGTGGCAGAGCAGAAACTTTCATTTTTCGTCATCCCTTCATTGGCCAACATTAACCACATGCTCAGCTGGTTCATAGGGTAATCAAACGCTGGCTTTTCATAAAAGTTCTGTTAGAAATGAAAAGAAAAGCAACAACAAGTACTATCACCTTGCAGTGTGACTTCAGAATAATTTCCAAAATGATAAATTTTTGAATGTTGCAATTTGCATTTTCTTTAATGATCCAAAAATTGTAATTTCCAAAATTTCTGTCTTGTCTTTTTGAGGGGATATATGATTGCAGCTTCCATCAGAAAGATTAGGAGTCTGATGGTTTTATAAGAGCCAGGCTAGTACCACACAGAGGGAGACACAGCTGCAAACCCTACAGCTGTTTCTTTAAATGCATCCAATATTTTCAAAGAATATTATATTCAGAGAAATGCCTAATAACACAGGGGATGGTTCCTGTTTTGTGGGATGCCCACAGCCTGCTCCTACCTGTGGTAAAGTGGGATTAACAACGGGAATGATGTGCTTCTGCTTCTCTGACAAAATGATGATGTCATCGATGGCCCACTGATCATACCCTTCCCCTGAAAACACGGGCTGCCACCAGCGAAACCTTGTGCAAGGTGTCTTAGCTGCAGCCGGCAGCTCCAGGTAGACAAACCTGAAAAACAGAAATTCAGAAGAACTTTGGGGGACACAGTTTGTAGAGAAATGGGAGAAATACCACTGAACGGGGAAAAGAGGCAGGAAAGCCAGTATCTATCTTACATGTAGAAGTCCTCAGAAATCCTCTACGTATCTGGATACCTATTTATACATGGCATATCCTGAAGCTTTCTTTGTCCTTGTCTGTGGGGAATGTAAACTCTTTAAGACAATGGCTATTTTTTACTCTCTATTACTATATTGCCTAGCACAATAAGGAACTGATTTGAACTCTTCAGCTTTGAATTAAACTGTTCAGCTGATCCATGTTCAGCAAGTCTTAACATTCTTCCGGTGCCAGCAAGTAATAGCGAAACATGCTGGCAGAATTCATTTCTCATTCTCTTCTGCTGGTTGGTCCTATTTGTAGACAAAAGCATCCTTCTATTACAATGCCATCCATTATGTAGCAGAGTTTTCTGCTGTGAATAAAAATATTTCAGGCCTCCTAATATGGGTCTGCATAAAAGAACTTTAGGTCTTCTCAGACAGTTTGCTTTATGTTCAACTTAGGAAACACCTTACAAAAATGATGTTAAATAAAAGGTAAAGTTTCAAACCTAATCATACTTATGTTAAAAAGTACAATAATTAATTACTTGTTCAGTCCTATTTCAGACACCTGACATACATGCATTTATGCATATATTCCTTTCTGTGCTCTATACCACATATTATTTTGTACCATGGACCCTGCTTCATGTGCTGGTTAGGCAGAGAGAGGTGGAGGAATTGTTCAGGACTACAGGGAACTTTCTTTCCCAGAGGATTCCTAGATTTATGTGTTGGAAAATAAGGAACTGGAAAATAAGGAACTGGATCACATTTGAAGGAGCAGAAAAATAAATATGCATAACTATATTCAGTAAGGACCATCACTCTTCGTTACTCAGAGGGGCAAATGTTTTGTCCAAAAATAATGTATTGGATGGTCCAGTGATGAAGGTTTCAGTATGTAGCTTCTTTGTTGGATGTGTCCTGTAATTTTGACAAAGTAGAGACCAAAGAAAGTTCAGTGGTTTTATTCTTCCAAGTGCCTAGATCACCCTTAGAAAAAGGACAGTTTGCTGAGTTACAGAAGTCCTGAAAACATTGTTCATTGCAATGCAAAATGACTAGATGGGAAGATGAAATTATTTACATATTGTGAAAGACATGAACTGCAGGTAATAGAAATAATGTTAATACCTATGTAGACAAAAACAATTAAAATTTTCACTGACAAGCTATCTTATGGAAAATTTGAAATGTTGAACATGATTTCTTCACCTCCTTAAATATTTCTTTAAAGGAGTTTTTGTTTTATGTGACATTAATACATGTTAATTAGATCTGAAACTAGAGTCAGAGGAAATGGCAGATTTCTACACCTCTTTTGGGCAAGTTCTGTATTTGTTTGCTAATCTTTTCCACATATTAGCATTTTAGTCATGTTTCACATGGGAGGTGAGTGACTGGAATCTTTGTATTTTACTTCAGTTTTTTTAAGGTTTGCTTTCATTAGATTTTTCCTTCCTAGTGTCAGGAGTTTATTGTGGCAGCCTGGAAAAACTTCCATATAATGATGGCTTTTAAGAATTATAACTTAAAATTATTACTCATGTTTTCATAAATTGCAAATTTTTTTATTTTTTTTTAAAGAGCTGATGCAGTATGGAATTAATTTAGACCAAAATTATACCTGGGTTTGCTGAAGTCAGAGAAATACATTTCTGCTAGTAGCTGCCAGTTGATACCGCCATTATTGCTGTACTGCAGCAGCACACCTTCTTCTCTGCTGTCTGGTTTATTGCATGAAGAACTGTCTCCTCCTATCTGGATGTAAAACTGCACAAAATCCACCCAAGTAGTGTCCAAATCCCAGCTTACCAACTGTCTTTTTCCAGCCTACAATGCAAAGAACAGAGAGGGGAAAATATTAAATATGACACGTTCACTATGTATAGACATATTTAAAGTCAAGCAGAGATAAATATTGTACAGAAAATTGCACAACACGGAGGACATAAAATTTTGTGTTAACATGACTTTTTTTTGTCTTGCAGGCAATGATTGTGCTTGGCCATCCGTTATGTCTTAATCACTCTGACGTGATCCCACAAGCAGTTTTATTATTACATTTCAACACACAATGCAACTTCACAATACAATTTCAACACAACTATTTTGTCTCATTCCTACAAGGTGCCAAGTACCTTTGGAAGACAAAGAGCAGACCCTGGGTATCCTGAACCAACTGGGGCTAAGTTTTTATGTATTCAGCTTTTTAATGGTAAAGCATAAAGCAGTAAAAAGACATTTCTGATGTCTCATTACCCCCGTCAAATCTTGCATGTATAGGGTTGCCTGATCATCTGAAATTATAGCTCCTAAAATACCTGTTTCTTGAAGCCCATCTCCTACCCAAGAACAAGGGAGGGGTATTTTCCCTTCATGCCTCACCTGAGTAGCATTTATTCCTACACAAAACTATGCTCTTTTCCTCACAAGTGTTGTGAATCAGGAGTCTCTCAAGTAAAACCTGTGGATTTGGTTTCAGGTTTACCTGAGCATAGCTGACAGAAAAAAATAGCCTCATAAAATTTAGTGAACAGCTTTTCCACAGATGTTTTTGAGTTCTAGCAGGAAACAGCTTTTGGACGCCTACATTGTAGTCAACATGGTCACTCTGCACATGTTGGCAAAGGAAGACAGCATATTCAGCTAAAAAGCGTTTTAAGGTTTAAGAGCCTTTTATTGTAACTGGAATTATCCTGTTCCCTTCTTCCCTGTGTGCCCTGCTGCTTGAGGCTGAGCTTGTGGGCTTGCCCATCAACAAGCCTACAAGATGCTGACACATGATATGAAGCTGCCCGTGGTGAGGCAGGACACGGGGCGAGAGCAGTGTCCCCACAGAGGTGCCCCACGCATGGCACTGCCCTGCCCCGGCACAGCATCGTACCTATAACAAGCTGTTATAGGTAGGGCAAAGCCAAATACGTGCAGCTGGAGAAGGGATGCGGGGATCAAACATCCGCATTCATTAAAAGTAGCTGCAACCTGGCACAGCCCCCCAAAATGGAGCAGAATTGGCAGCATGCCTACTGTTCTTAATTCCCTAACATCTCATGGGCTCCTGTCCATCTCCAAGCACAAAGAAATACGAAAAAGGAAAACCTGGGCTAAGTTTTAAAATCATGCTTATGTTTTAAGTAATATTTACATTTTTCCGCTGTCTCTCACTTGTACATCAGTGATCCTCCTGACAAATTTTCAGACAAATTTGAGAAAAGCAAGTGGCATGATCTAGCTGGACATAAGTAACAGGATTTATGAGCTGAGATTTAACAGATCATCTACATTTTTTAATACGATGATAGATGAATTTAAATCCTGTTCCACTCGTCACCTCTTTCCTCTTCCTACCCAGTTCAGGGCAAACTCAGCACAGATAAACGTCTATTGCTTTCCTTCTCAGAACATTTGCCTTTGCTGGCATTACAGCCTGGGTCCATAGCTCCTTTGTAGACTCTACCAAATAGGCCACATCACACTGCTAGACTAATTTCTGGAAGCTGAATGTTTGTGTGTTTGAAACTCAGTTAGCTTACACCACCAATGACAACTAAAACCTGTGAAGAGTCCTTTGAGCCTCAAAACTCTCACTCAGGATACCGTCATATTGCATTAGGCCTGCTGGTTTTGTTTATTTGTTGGTTTCTCCACAGCTGAGTGCCATGAGAGTGAGTGAGATGAACTCAGTCTTGGGTGCAGCCCTGAGCTGCCAGGTGCATCCCCGCCATGGCTAATACTGGCCAAGGTGACACTGATAATCTCTTGGTGGTTTTTTTTTCATGGCTCCTTTTGGAGACCCATTGGAATTTGAAATGATCATCATCAGATCAAACTAGTAATGGACAATAAAGATGCAAACACCCTTGCTGTCCTGTGGGCAGGTGTGTCCCAGTTGGCTGAGGATATCCAACATACTGACCCGGAGTGGATCAAGCTCTGGCTGTAAAACTATTCTGGGTAGGTTTTCCATATCTACACTCCACAGCAGCTCTGCCTGCCAAGGGGTTAACTACAGAACCAGGTTGACTGAGAAAACGCACGAGTGACATAAAACCTCAGAGGAATTTCTGGGGCTAATTGAAAGAGCTCTGCATTGCGAACACACCAACAATTGATTAAAATGAGTTGTAAACCAAAAGATAGAGAGTTGGCAGAACAAAGCCAACATTAATTCTGGTAGCAGTAATTGATTATGGCAGCAAACATTACACATTCAGATAAAAAGTGTCTATTTGAGCAAATGGAAAGAAATTGAGCCTGTGAATATGAGCTCCCTAAACAATACAGAACAGTTGGGCAACTACGAAAAGAATTTTTTATTTTCTACCAGCATGGCCACTAGACACCTTGAAAAAGATCTAAACAGAAATTAAACAAACCACCTTCTGTTGATGGCATGCAGACTGCTACTACTCAAGAAATGAATGATAACCTAACCCTTAGAGATCAATAGAAAGAAGCCAAGAATTTCTAAATGAGTTTTTCACTCCTCCTTAGCAGAAATCAGAAGAAAGATCAGAGCAGGTTAATTCTAATTTAGCAAACTACTTCAAGAAACTTGGCATAAGGAACTGAGCCAGAAGGAAAAACACCTAACAGAGAAGACAATTATATTAAAAAAATCCAATTATCACAATTAGCTAGTTGTACTGATTGGTCTATTATGAAATTTTCAGTGCAGAGCTGCATTTCCAGGGGAGCTGGATGTGAGACTGTAGGAGTGCTGAAAATTATTTGCTGGGTTAGATTTTTGTAACGAGGTAAACAACACACAATTACACAGCGTTGTATGTTTGGTTATTCTTGTGGGACTAATCTGGCTCTCATGACAGCAGTGGCAGTTTGATCAAACATTTGAAAGAGAAGCATATAGCTGCATTTATACTCTTCCTTTCAATTAAGAACAAAACAAAACCCAGTACTAGACCCGAGGAGCAACAATAAAAAATAAATCTGTGATTACAACCCATAATCTTACATCTGGTCATAAAGATCTCTATTTTAGTTATAATTGCTATTAATTATCAGAATTCTCTGTATCTTTTTACTGCTCTATTATTTTTGTCTGCAAATCATCCAAGTTATACAAAAGAGTATCCTCCTACAGGCTAACCACTTTCTAAAAGTCTGGAGGGGGTGTTTTTTCACTAGTTTTGGTTCCGTGACCTCAAATTAAGCTGTTTGTCCCCTAGAAAGCCAACCTTTCTCTGTTCCTTGCCCAGAACAGTACGGAACAAGCAACTGAGAGCTGGGGATCGCTGAGGAAGAACCGAGTCGCAAAACAGAAAATGCACAATTAAGATAGTATAAATGTACACGCTTCCCAGCACACTGGTGATTTACTTCCTTCCATTACAGCTGATATTTCTGGGATACAAAAGGCATGTGTCCCTCCCCATCTCTTTTGATTACTTTGCTCTTTACCTGCAGAGCACAGCTGCACTGTTTAATGCACTTCTCATTCTGTGTGCTGCTTTCTGCCACATTCCTTTTCTTTGCCACGTAACCACAACATGCTCCGTTCAAACCCACAGTTATGTACCTTTCTCGGTCTCCCATCCCTCCTTAGTACCTTGTTGAAGTAGAGTGAGGAGCCAGATGAGATGACCCCACAGCCTTCTTCAGGCTTGACTATCTCTCCCCCAATAATTTCCTGCCACTCTGTCTTCAGGCTGTCAGGGTTCTCAAAATCAGACATGACAGTCGAAGGAAGGGGATTTTCAGGCTGACATTCAGTACCCTGAAACCCCGAGTCACACCTGGAAGGAAGCACAAACGTAACAAGCTTTTAAAGACTTTATTTGACACTGATAATTACTTAAAGGGGTGCACTGACCTTTTAAAATGAGATGTGAAATAATAAATCATTCTGGGATTGGAATTTTGGATCCTGGAAACAAACTACAATAACTGGATAACAGAAAAAAGCTGTATCTTATTTCTAAAAAAATCCCTGTGGTGTCCAGAAAGTTTGAAGCTGGCAGGCAGTAGTCTGTGCCCTTGGTATTGCACCTGATCTGACAGCAGCTGCCAAGCAGTGCTGAGCTGCTCCCTGGCATCCTGGAGAGCTGCCCGTCGGAAAGGACCTGGGGGGGTGCTGGTTGACAGCCGGCTGAACATGAGCCAGCAGTGTGCCCAGGTGGCCAAGAAGGCCAACAGCATCCTGGCCTGTATCAGAAATCGTGTGGCCAGCAGGAGTAGGAAGTGATTGTGCCCCTGTACTCGGCACTGGTGAGGCTGCAGCTCAAATCCTGTGTTCAGTGTTGGGCCCCTCGCTACAAGAAGGACGTTGAGGTGCTGGAGCGTGTCCAGAGAAGGGCAACGAAGCCAGTGAGAGGTCTGGAGCACAAGTCTTATGAGGAGCAGCTGAGGGAACTGGGGTTGTTCAGTCTGGAGAAGAGGAGGCTGAGGGGAGACCTTATCGCTCTCTACAACTACCTGAAAGGGGGTTGTGGCAACGAGGGTGTTGGTCTCTTCTCCCAAGTAACCAGTGATAGGACAAGAGGAAATGGCCTCAAGTTGCGCAGGGGAGGTTTAGATTGGATATTAGGAAAAATTTCTTCACCGAGTGGTCAGGCATTGGAACAGGCTGCCCAGGGAGGTGGTGGAGTCACCATCTCTGGAGGTGTTTGTAAAACATGTGGATGTGGTGCTTCAGGACATGATTTAGTGGGCATGGTGGTGTTAGGTTAACGGTTGGACTTGATGATCTTGAAGGTCCTTTCCAACCTTAGTGATTCTGTGATTCTGTGATCCTTCTGACCCAGCAAAACAGCTCCAGCACTGAGCTGGTCCCTGGGGTCCTTGTGCAAAGGGCTGGAGGGGCAACCAGGACACCTGCAGCAGGGCAGCCCTGTGCCACTGAAAGCTCTCCCAATGCCTGGATCTGCCAAGGGTATGGATTCTCTGACAGAAAAGTGTGGAGCAACCAGCTGTTAATCTTGCTTGAATGGTCTAACCTCCCCTAGTGCTTTTATTTTTTAATGTTTAATCTAAAAATAAGAACAACGGGGGAAAAAAAAAGTAGTATGCAAAACGATAGGATACCTGAAATATTAAGAAACCAATTTTAAGAGGAACTGGAAAATGCTTTATACCTGCAAACGCCATGGTCGCACCAGCCGTGTCCACTGCACATGTTGGGACACTGCTGTCCGATGTAGATGTTGTCCAAGGCCCATTCGTCTTGGGCTGTGTAGTAGCACTGACTCCAGCGGAAACGCGTGGCGCTGGACCTGAAAACCAATAACAATGCTTTAATTTGCGATTCTTTACAGTACTGTAGGAAAAAAGATAAAATGCAACTATAAAAAATAAAGTAAGTTGGTTTTGCAATCACAGCCCAGACTGCAAAGACTGGCACAACCAAAGACAGATTTCTGTATATGAGCTTTCTAGATGATGCCACTTCCTGCACAAGCTATATAATGGACTTTCTAGTCATTAATGATATTTCTGAGGAAGGCTGCAGAGGTGTTATAGGGATTTTGTGCATCATTTTAAGATAAACCTATCAATGAATATTATTGGATTGTTATTGCATGCCATTCTGTGAGGGTGACGGACACTCAAAACTGCAAAACTAGAAAGATGCATCTAGGGCATGACTTTGATGTTTATATTTTTGGTCATGGTTAAGAGGCTATAAGTTGTGTAAAAAGCTTTCTTCTGATATTTATTATAGAAAAAAAAACTATGAACTTAAAGTTCTTGAGTGTAAGCATTTCTCCCTTTTGAATACTGTCAACAATACTTGACTGGTTTTTATTGGATACAGAAATTTCTTTTTGTCAGAATAATTCTAAACTAGATTTTGCTTACTTATCACTGGTGACATTACAATCACCAGCTTTTGGAAAAGATCTTGTTTCATAGCACCTATTTTTTTTTTTTTTCCAAATAGCTTGTTCTTGGCTAACTACTCAGGCAAAATCCATAACACCCAAGGTTTGTGGTACTGAATCATTGCATTAGATTACTTGCCTGTATATAACTAAGCTCTGGATATTTGTAATATTCTTCAAGCAGAAGACCTTTCTGTATTTTCTCCTTTCTAGTTAAACAGTCTTTCTTCAACAGCTTTATTTTTCTTTATTGTAGTTGAGTCAGGTAACATTATCTATTAAAAAAGAGCTTGAAGTTGGCCCTCTAAGAGATCATCTAATGTGATACCGACATTTTCCATGGTGGGTGACTCCTGCTAGCCAAACCCAGCCTGACATGCACCACCCTCAAAAAACAAGGAAGGAGAAGGAACTGAATCATGAGAAGAGTAATTTTAGTTGCTGCTGAGCCTGTCCAAGCTGCCCTGCCAACCTGTGTACATCTGACAGGGTACAGGCATTGGCTAGCAGCAGCTCCCAGCTGGTGGGTGCAGGGAGCTTCCACTCCCATGCTTGTGCCAGAATGCAATTAAGAAAAAAATATTGCATGTGAAGTGAAACAAAGATGGGAAATCATTAATTGTGCTGGAGCAAAAGGGGCTGTGCTGGCTTACGTGATGGGTCTGGGAATAAAGGGGTGGTAAGGGGCAACATGGGTGCTGAGGCTGGGTCGCAGAGCTGTGGAGGGGATGGACAGGGAAAGCAAGGCTGACTGCAGTGAATTAAAAATCAGATGTTAAACTGGGACACACCTGTGCCTGGCTGAGGGCTGACTGGATGGGCTGAGGATGAGAAGCAAGAGGTTCTTGCTACAAGAAGTAGGAACTTCTTTCCTAGCTTGTTTCTGAGCCATATGACTACGGTATGATGGCACAGGATATAATGCTGTTATTTTAATTTAAGAACCCCACCCCTTCCCCCCCCCCCCGCCAAATTATGTAGAATGACCTGTTAAAATGAATATTGTAAAGGTGGCTGAGCCACCTGCTCACATGTATGGATGTAAAAAAGACATATAGAGGCAGCCTGTGCAGCTAAAATGGACAGTACAACAGAGCAGTTAACCATCCAGTCACACACTACAAATTTACAAAGATTAGTTTAGTACATGCTTAGAGAAATTTTTAGAATACCAATTTTTATTTTCTTTAAAAAACAAATGAAGCTGCCTAAGGGCTTGATTTTTAATTGAAATGACCCTTGTTGTCTGTTTTTTGTATCTGCTTGCTATTGAAAATACTGGAAGCATTTTTACAGCCTGTAGAGCTAATCTGCGGGGCAGATCTGCCGATTAAATACTCCCTCAGGATATAATGTATTGATGGGTTACATTAAAAGAGCTATGAATTATCCATTAAAAGTGCGCAATGCCAGTAATCTGCACATGAAGGACTTCCTAAGCTTGCATAGGTACAATGGACAGTCAATATTCACCACAATTCTTTACTGTTTATTTTTGGAGTGCTCTGAAGCCAGCACATCCCCTCGGTGGTGGTGGTCACGTTCGCTGCAGAATGTCAACGGCACTGCAGAGAGCCCCGGCAGAGACTGTGTGCTTCAGAAAGATGGCGATGACTGGTGCTAGCCGTCACGTGCATTGAGGAAAACAACAGTATCGAAACCAAAGAAAGGTTTTGTAGCAGGCAAGAAAACCCCCGGGACCTCCCAGCACAATAAAATTGTGTCACGCTGTTTGTCCCGGTGGCAGGGGAGAGAGCGTGGTGGCCGGGCTCCTCCGGTTCTCGTTAGCAGAGGTGTGTGGATAGAGGTGGGGTATGTGACTCTGCAGCCCCAGGGGTATCGACAGCAAATTGGGGGGAATTTACAGTGATAGGGGGGCAATTTGGACAACCTGTGGAAGGTCCTTGGGACCCCACAAGTGGTGGTGCCCCCTGAGCACAGCTCCCGGTGCTGCCTGCTGTGGCA